GGAAGGTAAACGGTGTTTCCGTGCGCTGCTCTGGTTCGCCAGAAGCGGCTTAGTCATGCTGGCCACATGACCCGGAAGCTGTACGCCGGCTCCCTCGGCCAGTAAAGTGAGATGAACGCCGCAACCCCAGAGTCGGTCACGACTGGACTTAATGGTCAGGGGTCCCTTTATCTTTACTTAAATAGCAGCATTATCTTATTGCCCAGGCCTTCCTTGACTCGTAAGATTGGCCCGCTATTACTGAATTCCTGTTTTTATCATACTGTTTCATGGTGTCTAATCTCCAGTTATATAGAATTGTGGAATTTTGGCAACATGTTGTTTTTTATGTTGTATTTCTGTATACAGTGCTACCTCGCAAGACGAATGCCTCGCAAGACGGAAAACTCGCAAAACGAAAGGGTTTTTGGTTTTTTGAGTTGCTTCGCAAGACGATTTTCCCTATGGGCTTGCTTCGCAAGACGGAAACGTCTTGCAAGTTTGTTTCCTTTTTCTTAAAACCGTTAATACAGTTGCGACTTGACTTCGAGGAGCAACTCATAGCACGCGGTGTGGTAGCCTTTTTTGAGGTTTTTGAAGACTTTGGTGATTTTTGAAGCTTTTCCAAAACTTTTCCGACACCGTGCTTCGCAAGACGAAAAAAACCGCAAGACGAAAAAACTCGCAGAACGAATTAATTTCGTCTTGCGAGGCACCACTGTACCACTTAAGATATTTTTTAAATGTTAAATGGTTTAGAAATGATTCTAGAAGCATTTTGGATTTTAAACACTGACTTAAATCCTTGCACTATTATGAGTATAGGAATAAGTTTCGGTCTTTTGCTACTGACGTATTAGCTCAGGAATAAGCACCATTTTTTTTGTAAAAATGTATGTTTTTTTTAAAAAGTATTTTAAAAATAAAAATAAAAAAGACAATTAAAAAAGACAATAAAAATAAAAAAGACAACCACAGACATGCCTGGTCAGCTGCTCTGCTTTTTAAAGAGCAGTGATAAAAATGATTTATTATTTTTTTAATATTTTATTTTTTACCGACCACCAAAACACAAATGGGGAACCCCCCCCCAGGTGGCTGATACATTGGGTATACATATTCAGTAATAGACAGTGGTACCTCGGTTACATACGCTTCAGGTTACATACGCTTCAGGTTACAGACTCCGCTAACCCAGAAATATTACCTCAGGTTAAGAACTTTGCTTCAGGATGAGAACAGAAATCGCGCAGCGGTGGCATGGCAGCAGCGGGAAGCCCCATTAGCTAAAGTGGTGCTTCAGGTTAAGAACAGTTTCAGGTTAAGAATGGACCTCCGGAACGAAATACGTTCTTAACCCGAGGTACCACTGTAGATATTCAATAATATACATATTCAATAATAACATATTCAGATCAACCATATGTACACTTCTATACCTTAACACTACTTCCTCCACAAGGTTTAACTTTTAACATTTTAATTGCTCCAAATTGTTCAAACAAACCTACCCAAATAATTCAATATCTTCTCAAACCAATCCTGATAAAAAGAGTAGTGATAAAAATGATGGTGAAAGTGAGTTCAGGGCATCCTTTTCTCGTAAGAACAGCTTGTTGGATTAAGCCAAACACCCCTCTAGTCCAGCTGGTCTCACAGTGGACATCGAAATGCCCAAATGGGGAAACCTGTAAGCAGGATTTGAGTACCAGAGCCCTCTCTCCTCCTGGGGATAGTATTCTGAAGCACGACTGCCTCTGACCAGGAAGGCAGAGCATAGCCATCCTGGCTAGTAGCCATTGATAGCTCTCTCCTCCATCAATCTGTCTAATCCTCTTTTAAAGCCATCTAGGTTGGTGCCTACTTGGGACGTGGGTGGCGCTGTGGGTTAAACCACAGAGCCTAGGACTTGCTGATCAGAAGGTCGGTGGTTCAAATCCCCGTGACGGGCTGAGCTCCCGTTGCTCGGTCCCTGCTCCTGCCAACCCAGCAGTTCAAAAGCACGTGAAAGTAGATAAATAGGTACCGCACTGGCGGGAAGGTAAACAGCGTTTCCGTGCGCTGCTCTGGTTTGCCAGAAGCGGCTTAGTCATGCTGGCCACATGACCCGGAAGCTGTATGCCGGCTCCCTTGGCCAATAAAGTCAGATGAGCACCGCAACCCCAGAGTCGTCCACGACTGGATCTAATGGTCAGGGGTCCCTTTAGGTTGGTGGCCTACTTGGGAAGACATGAGAAGGTGAACTAATACCAATGCACTGGAAGAAGCAAAGATCACCAGTGTCAAAGCGATGATTCTTCAACATCAATTTCGTTGGACTGGTCCTGCTGTGCCCGATGATCGTCTTCCAAAGCAACTACTCTATTCCGAACTTAAAAATGGAAAGCGTAATGCTGGTGGTCAACAAAAGAGGTTTAAAGACTGTCTCAAGGCAAATTCCCAAAAATGTAGTATAAACACCAACAACCGGGAAATACTGGCCTGTGAGCTCTCCAGTTGGAGAACAGCCTTTCCCAAAGGTGTCATGGACTTTGAAGACACTCGAACTCAGGACGCAAGGGAGAAACGTACTAAGAGGAAGGCACGCTTGGCAAATCCACACCGTGATCAACTCCTGCCCGGAAACTCCAGAATTGGCCTCCACAGTCACTTACGGACTCACTGTTAAAACCGTGTATATGGAAGACAATCTTACTCGGCTACTAGTGAATGCCAAGGAAGAAGAAGAAGAAGAAGAAGAAGAAGAAGAAGAAGTTGTTGTTGGCCATCACTGCTTCCTGTGGCAATGAGTTCCACAGTTTAACTATGAGCTGCATGAATGAGGACAAACCTTTATCTGTCCCGAATCTTTTAGCTCCTCTCAAACATGCAGCTTCTCAAACTCCAGACATTTTAATGTCTCTTTTAATTGCTACACATTCTAGTGGGCTTGCTTCATTGCGTATTTTAAATATGTGTGTTTCTAACGTTTTGAAGAAATTGTTTTATTGTGTACTGTTTTATTACACATGGGCTTTATAACTGTTTTTGTGCTTGTAATCTGCCTCAAAGCCAGTTTGGCATTTGCTACAGTACATTAATTTGCTAATTATTATAATAACACTGTTTTGGACGATAACTCCCATAAGCCGCAAGGCAACAGATATTCTGGCCTGCAGCTTCCCCGAGCTGCTGTTGGGAACTGCAGTCCAACACATCTGGAGGGCAACTAGGGGGGGGGAACAAAGGCATCTCTTGCAAACTTTTGTGCCTTAACAGCTGCACAAGTCGCGAGCGTAGTGTGTGCAATAGCAACTCTGAGCTCTAGATGGCGAGGTGACTTTGCACTCGACTGATACTAACTCCACTGAAAAATTGCATTTAAAGGAAGTTTGCGTTGATGGCTCAAGTTCTTTTGCCTGGCAAGTACGTCTCTAATACTACAACAACAACAACAACAACAACAACAACCTTCCTCTCAAAGTACAGGGCAGAGTGCAACACGCAAAACCACAATAATAACCAAAAGCAATCATTTGCAAGGACTAAGCTGGGACCAGGGGTGCCAACTTGAATAAAATATTGGGGAGGGGGCAGGGAAGCCCCCCACAGCATAATTGATCACATGACGTGACTCTCTCTCTCTGAATGGCAATGCCCATCAACTTTAGGAGCCCCCCAGATGCCTCAAATATTTTATTGGGAGGGGTGCAAGGACCTTAGGGCCCTAAGAGTTGGCTCCTATGACAAGGGCGCCAGGTAGTTCGGGGTTGTGATTCCTGCACGGCGAGGGGTTGGACTAGATGACCCGCGGGTCCCTTTCCAGCTCCCCGGTGGTGCTGCTGTTGTTGTTGTTTAGTCGTTTAGTCGTGTCCGACTCTTCGTGACCCCCTGGACCAGAGCACGCCAGGCACTCCTGTCTTCCACGCCTCTCTTTGGGATTGGGATGAAGACTGATCTTCTCCAATCCTCTGGCCACTGCTGAGTTTTCCAAACTTGCTGGCATATTGAGTGTAGCACCTTGACAGCATCATCGTTTAAAAATTTAAATAGTCCAGCTGGAATATCATCACTTCCACTGGCCTTGTTATTAGCAGTGCTTTCTAAGGCCCATTTGACTTCACTCTCCAGGATGTCTGGCTCAAGGTCAGCAACCACACTACCTGGGGTGTACGAGACATCCATATCTTTCTGGTATAATTCCTCTGTGTATTCTTGCCACCTCTTCTTGATGTCTTCTGCTTCTGTTAGGTCCTTACCACTTTAGTCCTTTATTATGGTAATCTTTGTACGAAATGCATTTCTGGGAGTTCTCGGTCCACATACTGCCTTGTAGAATTTTAAGCCTAACCTTACTAGCGTGTGAAAGGAGTGCAATTGTGCGGTAGTTGGAGCATTCTTTGGCACTGCCCTTCTGCTGGCAGCGAGGAAAAGGTGAGGGTCGTGCTGTGGCCCCGCCCCCTTCCCTTCTGGCCCCGCCCACCGCGGCAGGTAGGGCCGAGAAAGGGCCCCTCTCTCTCTCTCCAAGCGGCCGCCTCGCAAGGGCAGCCGCGACGGGGCGCGTTTCCCTCGCGCTCCGTGGCCGGACGCCGTCGCCGCCGCTGCCCTGCCCCAACCGGGGCTCTCTCCCCTCACTCCCAGCCGCCCCACCACCGCCGCTCTCCCCTCCCTCGAGCGCCCCTTCTTCCCCAACCGGAGCCCGACGGCTGCCCGCGTCCCTCCGGCCGGGGCGAGCGGCGGGGAAAGGGCGCGCGGCGCGCGGCTGAGGCGAACGGAGGTGGCCGGTTGCCCGGAGGTGGGACGGCCGAAAAGGCGGGCGAGGAAGGGGAAGGAAGCTCCTGGCTCGCTCGCTCGCCGCCTCCTCTCCCTCAAGCGCCCCTTCTTCCCCAGCCGGAGCCCGACGGCTGCCCGCGTTCCCCCGGCCGGGGAAAGGGCGCGCGGAGTTTCGGCTGAGGCGAGCGGAGGTGGCCGGTTGCCCGGAGGTGGGACGGCCGAAGGGGAAGGAAGCTCCTCGCTCGCCGCCGCCTCCTTTGCCTCCCTTTAAAGGACAACTTGGCGAGCGAACCGCTGGGCGCCTTGGCCCCGGGGAGGCGCGAGGAGCCGCGGCGAAGGCGGAGGAACAGGCGGCCGGGGGTGGGTCGCTTCCTCCGCCTCCTCCTCGGAGTTTGGCGCTCCGTATCCGGGAAGGAGCGAGCCCGGAACTGGCAGCCCCTGAGGAGACGCCACAGCCGCCGCCGCCCTCGAAGTTCGCCTTCTCCCTCAGGCGGCGCCATGCGGCGGCTCCGGCTGGCCCGGAGGGGCCCGTGTCCGGGCAGGGGCTGCGCGGTGGCGCTGGCGCTGCTGGCCGCCGTGGCCTTCTTCGCCGTGGCGCTGTCGCTGGCCAGCCTGCAGGCGCCCCCGGCCGGGGAGAGGCGCTCTCCTCGCGGGGAAAGGCGCTTCTCCGACGGGGCGGAGCGGCCCCAAGACCTGGCCCGCCCCGTCTACGAGAAGGCGCCGCCGGAGCCTTCGGCCCCCGGGGAGTGGGGCAAGCCTGCCCACCTGCAGCTGAGCGCCCAGGAGAAGAAGGAGGAGGAGGAGCTGGTGGAGCAGTACGCCATCAACGTCTTCCTCAGCCAGAAGATCTCCCTGCACCGCCACATCCAGGACGGGCGCATGGCCGAGTGCAAGGCCAAGGCCTACCGCTACCGCCAGCTGCCCACCACCTCGGTGGTCATCGCCTTCTACAACGAGGCCTGGTCCACGCTGCTGCGCACCGTCCACAGCGTGCTGGAGACCTCTCCGGCCGTCCTGCTGAAGGAGATCATCTTGGTGGACGACCTGAGCGACAAGGCCTACCTCAAGGGTCAGCTGGAGAAGTACGTCAGCGGCCTGGAGAGGGTGCGCCTGATCCGCACCAACAAGCGCGAAGGGCTGGTCCGGGCGCGCCTGATCGGGGCCACCTTCGCCACCGGCGACGTCCTCACCTTCCTCGACTGCCACTGCGAGTGCGTCCCCGGCTGGCTGGAGCCGCTGCTGGAGAGGATCGCTGAAAACATGAGCACCGTCGTCTGCCCCGTCATCGACACCATCGACTGGAATACCTTTGAGTTCTACATGCAGTCGGCCGAGCCCATGATCGGGGGCTTCGACTGGCGCCTGACGTTCCAGTGGCACTCCGTCCCTGACTACGAGCGCCAGAGGCGCAAGTCCAAAATCGATCCCATCAGGTCGCCCACCATGGCCGGGGGCCTGTTTGCCGTGAGCAAAAAGTACTTCGAATACCTGGGCACCTACGACATGGGGATGGACGTCTGGGGAGGAGAGAACCTGGAGCTGTCCTTTCGGGTGTGGCAATGCGGGGGCATCTTGGAGATCCATCCCTGTTCGCACGTGGGGCATGTGTTTCCCAAGCGCGCTCCCTACGCCAGGCCCAACTTCCTCCAGAACACGGCACGGGCAGCGGAAGTGTGGATGGATGGGTATAAAGAGCACTTCTACAACAGGAATCCCCCGGCACGGAAGGAGAACTATGGAGACATCTCAGAAAGGAAGCTCTTGAGGCAGCGCCTGAAATGCCAGAACTTCGACTGGTACCTGAAGAACATATTTCCGAACTTGCACGTGCCAGAGGACCGCCCCGGTTGGCACGGAGCCATCCGCAGCGTGGGCATCTCTTCCGAGTGCCTAGACTACAATTCTCCGGAGCACAACCCGACTGGCGCCCACGTCAACCTCTTCGGGTGCCATGGGCAAGGAGGGAACCAGTTCTTTGAGTACACGTCGAATAAGGAAATCCGGTTCAATTCCGTGACAGAGCTCTGCGCCGAAGTTCCCGACCAGAAGGATTTTGTGGGCATGAGGAACTGCCCGAAAGACGGCTCCGCTATCCCAGAAAACATTGTGTGGCATTTTAGAGAAGACGGGACCATTTATCACCCTCATTCGGCAAAATGCCTTAGCGCTTACCGCACTGCCGAGGGCCGGGCGGACGTGCAGATGAGGACATGCAACGCAGAAGATAAAAACCAGTTGTGGAAGTTCGAAAAATAGAAATTGGTCTGGGAGTCTCTGTCCAAGACTACTTCCAGCTGACTTAGCGTGTCTTCCCACTAAGTCTGGCTTAGCGTGTCTTCCCATTAACTGTTCGTGCCAGATTTAGGTAGCTTCTAAAAGGATTTTTAACAGGTTTGGGAATGGCAGTGAATGACTGTGAAGAAGCAGGGTGTTGGGGACATGCCATCTGAAGTGCCTTTTATTCTAAACTCCCATTGGCGGGGGCTGATGGGAGTCATTGTCCAATATCTGGACAGGTGGATCCTAAGGTGTTCACTTAAAAGGGAACAACTATAATTTGTGTGTGTGTGTGATTGTAATACTTGGGGAACAAGGTGGCCTTGGTTAGAACTGCAGATTACTGAACGTTTATGTTACGTGTTACTGTACGGGGGGGAAACTGAAATCAATACAAACGCAGCCACAGTACAGATAATAACATTAATACGAGTTACACCAGGGAAAGGGAAGCTTTGGTTCTCCAGGTGGTGGATCGATCAAGGCTCCCATCAACTCTTTCCATGTTGACAGGGGTTGTTGGGAGTTTTGGTCCAGCGACTACAGGACGGCCACATGTTCCCCCGTGTCTGAGTTAACTATATGCATAATTTGTGGCTAATGGGGTGGTTTGGCCAAGAAGTGGGAGAAACATCACCCTTAGGGTGCTGCCTGAGTGTTGCACATAGGAGTCTCGTTGAGTGTGTTGGGAGAAAATATTGCTTAGCTTTTAGGGCAGCTTACCAGCTCCCGTCAGTGCGCTGGCTGGGGTTGATGGGAGTTGTAGACAACCTGGAAGGCGCCAGGTTAGCAGTGGCCCTGTGCACTGTGCCAAAATCCCCCCCCCGACCTCTTGTGCTCCATTCTAAATAATAGTTGTGGGGGGCCCCAAGGCACTGTGCCCTAAATTCACCTCCGAGGTTAGAGAAGGCTGCAGAGTAGTAACAGGCCTGAGTTCATGTCTCTGGTTCTTAATGCACCTCAGATATATATATATATATATATAGGTTTTGCTTTTCATTATTGAGAGCAGAGCGAGGAATAAATGCAATCTGCATTGTGCAAGTGGTGAAAGCAATCATTTGTTAACTTAGGGAGGAGGTAATCAAGTTGTAGCTGAGGTTAACAGTACAGTGGTACCTCAGGTTACATACGCTTCAGGTTACACACTCAGCTAAGCCAGAAATAGTGCTTCAGGTTAAGAACTTTGCTTCAGGATGAGAACAGAAATCGTGCTCCGGCGGCGCAGCAGCAGCTGGAGGCCCCATTAGCTAAAGTGGTGCTTCAGGTTAAGAACAGTTTCAGGTTAAGAATGGACCTCTGGAGCGAATTAAGTACCGGTACTTAACCCGAGGTACCACTGTATTAGTGGCAAATAAGAGTCATTGTTAATGACGACGCTGAAAAATGTCAAAAGGATGGGAAACCAGACTTGTTTCTTGTATCGGAAACACATGCGTCAATGTCTAGAGCAGGCGTGGGGATATTTGGCCCTCTGGATGTGGCTGGACTACAACTCCCATCAGCCTTCGCAAGCACAGCCAATGGCCAGGGATGATGGGTATTGTAGTTCACTGACACCTGGAGGTCCAATGGTTCCTCGCACCTGATTTAAAGGCTCTTTATCAATGTTTCCCAAACTTGAGTCTACAGTTGTTGTTAAACTATAACTCCCATCATCCCTAGCTAGGAGGACCAGTAGCCACAGGTGATGGGAATTGTAGTCCAGAAACAGCCGGAGACCCATGTTTGGGAAATACTGCTCTATATCAACATTTGCAATTCCTGATAGTAGCTATTTATGATCTCTGCCTTATCACTGTTAACATAATCAGTTACATGTAGTGCTTTAAAATCCACTGATGGGTCAGAGAATGAGAGAAACTGCTTTTTGGATGGTTCTTAACGCACTTCAGATGGAATTCAGATTTCCCCGAGGGCTGTATCTTTAGGTAAAGGTATAAGGTGTTGTCACACTTCCTCAAACGTGGCATAGCCAATATTAACTAATTGCTGCATTCCCAGGCTGTACCTTGAACTCAGAGGCTGTGCGCCTGTGGCTACGAAGTGACAGGAAGCTGGCAAGATATGCAGAGAAGCAGTTTCAACAAATCGGTGTGATACTTGCCTTTTAAGTCTCTGCCTCGGTTAAATCAACGATGCAGAATTGTAGCTAGTCTGGCAGAGGTTCAGGGAGTAAACTGCATCGTTGATTGTCATAAGCAAACTGTTGACAGGATGTAGATCAGGCTTTGCTAATCTGGTGCTTTCCAGATGTTCTGGCTAAGGACAGCTATCAGCACCAGCCAGCAAGGCCGACATAGGCGAATTCTTCTTAAAGAAGACTGTTACCTTCTGAAGGTAATGGTTCTGGGATCTCTATAACTTGCCTCTTGGCAGGAAAAGTGACAAAGCTTTAGCTATCTCTATATTTTAACTAAGCTGTAGTTGGGCATGACCCATAGCACCTTGAAACTGTAGCAGAATTAACTCCCAACAGAGCCTCGAGTTATCAAGGCCAGCAGTCCTAAACATCATGGTTGACAACCTGCCATTGAAGCTGTTAGCCTCTCTCTCTGTGCCTCTTGTATGTAGAGAACCTTGTTTCTGTTTCAGAACTAGTCATGTGGCCACCTTAGTTAGCCATTCCAGCTTTCGGTCTTAAAAACTGAGACTGGGCACATCAAATCCTTATTCTTGATGGGGCAACCTTGACTTGTGGGCCTGAGGAAATGATCACCACCACACGGAGAGGTGACGGAGGAGAAACTCAATTCTCCTGTGTTTTGCTCATTTTGCACCTGTTATTGCTCCTCTTACAGGTCACTGTAGGGTTTTAGAAAACCTGATAAACTTGTTTGAACAGCAGTGAAGGCTGGACAGGATATTAATGGGTGTGAACAGTGCCTCTAATGCCACCATCGTTTAACTTTTTTGTCGACTGCCTTCATTTTTAGAGATGATGGCATTTGTGGTGGTCAAGGGAGAAGAGTCGCCGTGCCTAAAAACTTCCCTGCTCTTCTTCCAAAGCTACTATTTCTCCCCTGTTTCTACTTCTCATCGCCAGTGCCTCTTGTGATTTAATCGCTGGGACAATCCAGGGTTTGCCAAGAATTGCGGGTTATTTTGCAAGCTCCAGTCCATGGTATTGGGACAAAACGACGCGGGTGGCGCTGTGGGTCAAACCACAGAGCCTAGGACTTGCCGATCAGAAGGTCGGCGGTTCGAATCCCCGCGACGGGGTGAGCTCCCGTTGCTCGGTCCCTGCTCCTGCCAACCTAGCAATTCAAAAGCATGTCAAAGTGCAAGTAGATAAATAGGTACCGCTCCAGTGGGAAGGTAAATGGCGTTTCCGTGCGCTGCTCTGGTTCGCCAGAAGCGGCTTAGTCATGCTGGCCACGTGACCCGGAAGCTCTCTGCGGACAAACGCCGGCTCCCTTGGCCAGTAAAGCGAGATGAGCGCCGCAACCCCAGAGTCGGTCACGACCGGACCTAATGGTCAGGGGTCCCTTTACCTTATTATGTGCAAAGAATATGGATTTCTGAGGTGCTGGAGATGTTTGTTCACATTCCCTGCCACCCCTTCATGGTACTTGAAGGGGGACAGAAGCCAATCTAGGGAGGGAGAGAATGTGCCGCATTATATATTGAAAGCACCATGATACCACTTTCAACAGTCCTGGCTACCCCCAAAGCATCCTGGTATCTGTAGTTTGGTACAGGTGCTGGGCATTGTTAGAGGAGACCCTGCACAATTCCCCGAGTTCTCTGGAAAGAAGGATTGATTGTTAAGCCCCTTTGAGAACCGTATCTGTGTGAGGGAATGGAATCGGCCGGCCTAACAAGTCTTGGCACCCTTAACTACATTTCCCAGGATTCCCAGGGGGAAGTCTCAAGACTGCTGCTAACGCAGGGTGCAGATGTGGCCTGACGCTTTAGTGCCAGGAAGACCTATGACCTTGAAGCACAGGTGCAGGGAAAACAGCACACCGGAGCGAACAAATCTATGTCCGTTCTGTGGCCAATAAGAAATGAACTCATCTTCTCAGGACAACCAGAGGTGCTGAGTTTGCTGGCCAGAATAGCTGCTACGCCACATGGAAACAAGTGTCTTAGGTCGGGTTCGGATGATCAGTTTTCACCTGTGGTGTGGTGGTGAATGTTGCAGTTTCTACAGAGCGATATCTCTGTGGAAGAAGGCCATCTGAAATTGTCCTGTATGCGTTGGGACTCTGTGGAACGTGCCCTCCTCCCTTCTTGAAGCTGTACTGAATTTCTGACATGCCAGAATTTCTGACATGGCCCCAGATGTTTTCTACTGCAGCTCCACTGGTTGGTGAAAAGGGACTTTAGTGTTACAGTCATACAATGACCGTATTAGTGCAAAATCACTGATCTGAAACCATCCTTACGGCTTCAGAATGATGGCTGTTAAACCAGAACTAACAGTTACGGGAAATTTATTGTAGGTAAGATTCCACTGTGCACATAATATGCCAATGTATTCCTATGACACTTTAGTATTGTGATGATTTAGCACCGTTAAATTCTATGGTGGGACTGAGGTGTAGAGTGTCTTAACCACAAGTGACCTTGTAAAGCTTTTTCTAAAAATGTTTCCCCCCTTTTCTATGCACACCGAAGCTGGATTTACACTGAGCTCTGTGCAAAGCACTATCTCACTATGAGCTTGTGTGAGCTATGCAATTATATCCACCTATATGTGCCTTATTTCTTTTTTGAAGGTTCGGGGGGAAAAACTTGTATTTTCTTACGGAGGACTGTTTTAATGCCTAATATGAAGGTGTGCCAATCTACAATTCTCTTGGGACGGCAATCCTGAACCCATTTGCTAGAGATTAAGAGGTCGTCTTTAACTTTGTGGGACTTATATCAGGGTAAACATTTACAGGATTGCACTGTTAATAACTGGCGCGAAGGGAAAAAGCAAAACTGAATTAGTATTCCATCGCTGTATGAAAAGTACAGAGAAAAGAATATAATAATTGTGTGTCTGTGTGTAAGTTAAGATATATAAATATTTTTATACTAAGAATTTGCATTGGCAATCTTAGCTGTAGCATTGTCACTAAGTTCAGTTCAGAAAGGTAATACTGTTTACAGGCTTCTGAAATATTTGATATCTGGAAAATGAAGGTATGCATTTTAATTATGCTTCAGTTCTTGAATGAATTATGAAATTGTTTGGGGAAATTTTACTGTGAGGGTTTTAAACTACTGATTTATGGTGTCTGTTTTTAGGGAAACAAATAACTTCACAATGCGTAGATGTGATTGAAAGCTCCTTGAAAAGGCGGAAATAAACAGTTTTCAATTTAAATCTCGAATTGGCCTCTCTGTACTAATGGAACTTACTCCATTTACATCAGTCTTTGCACACTTGTATTTAGGGTCCTTAGTATCAGAAATGTAATTTACAGCTGCACAATTATTATAGCTAGGAAGTGGAAAGGGCAAGGTGAATATAAAATGGAAGAATGGTATAAAGAGGTGTGGGATATGGCTGTATTCATGATAAATTAACACGTGCTATTAAGGTAAGACAGAGAATATGCAGGAGAAATGATTTTGAGGAGATATGGAGTGTATTTGCAGAATTTGTACTGTTAAAACGGAAAGGGGTCAAACGATCGCAAAAGGTGTCAAAATTTTGGGAGGTTGGATAGCGACAATGGAATGGTGTGAGGGTGGGGTGCACATTTATATTTTTATTTATTTATTATTATTACTTTGTTAATTGAAAAATAAAAGGAGGAATGTAATTTCTGCCCTGATCTGGCCACAGTGATCCATGCGACGGTCAACTCCAGGCTTGATTATTGTAACTAGCTCTACGTGGGGCTGCCCTTGAAGCTGACCCAGAAACTCCAGTGGGTGCAGAATGCCACGGCAAGGCTCCTTATGGGGTCCTCGCCGCGGGATCACATTCACCCAGTGCTTTACCAACTGCACTGGCTCCCGGTGGAGTACAGGGTCAGGTTTAAGGTGCTGGTTTTGACCTTTAAAGCCCTATATGGCCTAGGACCCACGTACCTACAGGACCGCCTCTCCTGGTATGCCCCACGGAGGACCTTCAGGTCCACAAATGACAACATTTTGGAGGTCCTAAGTCGCAAGGTGGTTAGATTGGTTTCAACTAGGGCCAGGGCCTTTTCAGTACTGGCCCCGACTTGGTGGAACGCTCTGTCCCAAGAGACCAGGGCCCTGCGGGACTTGACATCTTTCCGCAGGGCCTGCAAGACAGAGCTGTTCCACCTGGCCTTTGGTTTGGACTCAGTCTGACCCTCATGTTTCCCTCCCCTTATGGTCTTGATTTATCAGCTACTTTTAAAATGAGGCTACATTTTAAATTGCATTTTAACCTGTATTTTAAATTGGTTTTTGTTTTTTTTCCTTTTCCCCCTATTATGTTTTTACTGTGATTTTATTGGTGTTAGCTGCCCTGAGCCCGGCTCTGGCCAGGGAGGGTGGGGTATAAATAAAATTTATTTATTTATTTATTTATTAATTATTATTATTATTATTATTACAGTAATTTAGAATGGGGTTTCGTGGCTGAAAATAGAAATGCTTTACTGCTGAAAATAGAAATGTTTACTGCTGAAGTACCCATCTAATTGTTGTGACAGAGGTATACAGGTATAGTCAAAGCAGAAGGGGGTGTGGGGGAAAGGCAGTCTGTGACGAAGCTTGACTTGGAGTTCAGCTGTGAAGAAGAAGAAGAAGAAGAGTTTGGATTTGATATCCCACTATCACTACCCGAAGGAGTCTCAAAGCGGCTAACAATCTCCTTTCCCTTCCTCCCCCACAACAAACACCCTGTGAGGTGAGTGGGGCTGAGAGACTTCAAAGAAGTGTGACTGGCCCAAGGTCACCCAGCAGCTGCATGTGGAGGAGTGGAGAAGTGAACCCGGTTCCCCAGATTAGGAGACTACCGCTCTTAACCACTACACCACACTGGCCTTCTTCCTAGTCTGGTATGCTTCCCTATAGCTGAGGTTGCCAACACAACGCCTGCGGATTCTCTGATGCCCCCAAAGGCCTTGGCACCTCTGGCAGGGTCCCCAGATTCCGCATTTTCATTTTTCATTGAATGAACTTAATACAGTGGTGCCTCGCAAGACGAAATTAATTCGTTCCGTGAGTTTTGTCGTCTTGCGGTTTTTTCCGTCTTGCGAGGCACGGTGTCGGGAAAGTTTTGGAAAAGCTTCAAAAATCACCAAAGTCTTTAAAAACCTCAAAAAAGGCTACCATACCGCATTCTATGAGTTGCTCCTCGAAGTCAAGTCGCAACTGTATTAATGGTGTTAAGAAAAAAGGAAACAAACTTGCAAGACGTTTTCGTCTTGCGAAGCAAGCCCATAGGGAAAATCGTCTTGCGAAGCAGCTCAAAAAACAAAAAACCCTTTCGTCTAGCGAGTTTTTTGTCTTGCGAGGCATTCGTCTTGCGAGGTACCACTGTATTCATATTGTATGCAGGGATGTGGGTGGCGCTGTGGGTTAAACCACAGAGCCTAGGACTTGCTGATCAGAAGGTCGGCGGTTTGAATCCCCGCGACGGGGTGAGCTCCCGTTGCTCGGTCCCTGCTCCTGCCAACCTAGCAGATCGAAAGCACGTCATAGTACAAGTAGATAAATAGGGACCGCTCCGGCGGGAAGGTAAACGGCGTTTCCGTGCGCTGCTCTGGTTCGCCAGAAGCGGCTTAGTCATGCTGGCCACATGACCCGGAAGCTGTATGCTGGCTCCCTCGGCCAGAAAAGCGAGATGAGCACCGCAACCCCAGAGTCGGCCACGACTGGACCTAATGGTCAGGGGTCCCTTTACCTTTACCTTACTTCCTGTAAAACAAATAACATCAAGGCTTTGAGGCTGAAGCCCTGCATGGAATATCCATGATGTCACAGTTGCCGGAGTAGGTATGAATAAATGGGTTGCACTTGCAAGTTTATCTGCTTATTTTTTTTTATCTGTGTAGAAATTACCGTATTTTTTGCTCTATAAGACTCACTTTTTCCCTCCTAAAAAGTAAGGGGAAATGTGTGTGCGTCTTATGGAGCGAATGCAGGCTGCGCAGCTATCCCAGAAGCCAGAACAGCAAGAGGGATTGCTGCTTTCACTGTGCAGTGATCCCTCTTGCTGTTCTGGCTTCTGAGATTCAGAATATTTTTTTTCTTGTTTTCCTCCTCCAAAAGCTAGGTGCGTCTTGTGGTCTGGTGCGTCTTATAGAGCGAAAAATACGGTAATTATTATTGTTATTTACTAAATTTGTATACCACCCTTTGTTCGTATATCTCAGGGTGGTTCACAACATAAAAATGAAGTATAAAAAACACAAAATGCATGAGTAGAAAGAATTTTGAATGTTCCGGTGCAGAACGATAACTACATCTTAAGACTTCCTCCACCTTTATTTCATCTGCTCTCTGTAGAAGCCAAAAAAAGCACGTGCTGCTTCTTCCTCTGACAGTTCAAACTGCAGTCAAACAGCTCCAAATACCAACAGCTTCTTACTCTCAACCACAATACAGTGGTACCTCAGGTTACAGACGCTTCAGGTTACAGACTCCGCTAACCCAGAAATAGTACCCCGGGTTAAGAACTTTGCTTCAGAATGAGAACAGAAATTGTGTGGCGGCGGCAGCAGGAGGCCCCATTAGCTAAAGTGGTACCTCAGATTAAGAATAGTTTCAGGTTAAGAACGGACCTCCAGAATGAATCCAGTTCTTAACCCGAGGTACCACTGTAGTTAGCTTCATCCACCTGCTATATTCGCCCGGCCAATGTGTTCTGGCTAGTTTCCTGCATTACAGACAGCTACAGGGCCGGCCCTCCCATTGGCTTTGTGAGACAGTCGTCTTGGGCGGCAGGCTGGGTACAACTGGGAGGGGTGGCATATCTGTGCCCCACCCCAAGAGTATGCCACTCCTGCGCTTGTCGCCTGCATCATGCCACCTGGAAAGAGCAGGGCTGCTGCTGTCGCCACTGCCTACTCTCTGTCTGTTAAGTTGTGGGTGAACGTATCAGGCGACAAAGCGATTCTTCAAACAGCTCTTGTTTATTCACAGACCCAGAACAGAACTGAAGGGTTCAGCCAGCCTGCTTATATAGAGCTCCAGTACAACGCACAGTAACCACTTTCTGTAACTATCCAATCACTGAACGTCACTTTCAATCCCTTATTTGCATATGTGGACCTGAGTGTAAACTATCTACAGTATCCCCCTGCTGGTTTAGGGTGAGAACTTCAGTACATAACACCGTCTTCCTTTTTCTCCTCTACCACTGCCTTCTGTTCACATCAGGGCTTCCTGGCTGCCTGCAATTGCCTCAGGCAGCAGAGGAGGAGGTGGCAGCTGTGGTGGGTCAGGGACCAAAGGAGGAAGAAGAGGAGCCCCCCCCCCCAATTTTATATTTTGCTTCAAGCTGCAAAATGTCTTGGAGAGCGGAATCACTACTCTTAGTTGCTGGAATGCTCTGTCTCATGAGACCAGGGCCCTGCGGGATCTGATTTCTTCCCGCAGGTCCTGTAAGACAGAGCTGTTCCGCCTGGCCTTTGGCTTGGAGCCAATTTGATTCCCTCCCGCTCTTTCTTTTTCCCTTTCTCCTCCTGTGATGAGGCTGCATTTTAATGTTTCACTGTTGTATTTTAATCTTGTTTTTAAGTTGTATTCATTCAACATGTTTTTATTATTGCTTGTTAGCTGCCCTGAGCCCGGCCTTAGCTGGGGAGGGCGGGGTATAAATAAAATTTATTATTATTATTATTAATTGCTGACGCATGAGATTTCAGAACAGATCAAGCCTCTGCAAAGATTCAGACTTCCGTGTCAAAACTGGGTGGAGTGAATTTCCTTTTGTTGTTTAGTTGTTTAGTCATGTCCGCCTCTTCGTGACCCCTTGGACCAGAGCACGCCAGGCACTCCTGTCTTCTACTGCCTCCCGCAGTTTAGTCAAACTCATGCTGGTAGCTTCAAGAACACTGTCCAACCATCTCGTCCTCCGTCGTCCCCTTCTCCTTGTGCCCTCCATCTTTCCCAACATCAGGGTCTTTTCCAGGGAGTCTTCTCTTCTCACGAGGTGGCCAAAGTATTGGAGCCTCAGCTTCAGGATCTGTCCTTCCAGTGAGCACTCAGGGCTGATTTCCTTCAGAATGGACAGGTTTGATCTTCTTGCAGTCCATGGGACTCTCAAGAGTCTCCTCCAGCACCAGAAATCAAAAGCATCCATTCTTCGGCAATCAGCCTTCTTTATGGTTCAGCTCTCACTTCCATACATCACTACTGGGAAAACCATAGCTTGAACTGTTGTTGTTTAGTCGTTTAGTCGTGTCCGCCTCTTCGTGACCCCCTGGACCAGAGCACGCCAGGCACTCCTGTCTTCCACTGCCTCCCGCAGTTTGGTCAAACTCATGCTGGTAGCTTTAACTACACGGACCTTAGTCTGCAAGGTGATGTCTCTGCTTTTTAAGATGCTGTGTGGGTTTGGCATTGCTTTTCATTATTTATTAAATTTCTATACCATCCATCATTCATAGATTGCAGGGCGGTTCACAGCATTCGGTGTTCACAGTTTAGGAGGCGGAGAGATGATAACACGGGTGCGAATTGTTGCGGAATGTTTCTGAGCTGCCTCTCCCCCCCCCCTTTTTTTTTTTGCTCCCATGGATGCGAAGGCAAAAAACTTTCCTCCTCTTCTGAATCGCAGGTGGAGGGGTTAGGAGGAAAGGGCGCATGGCTTCATTTGCTTCCACTGGGCATGTCTGATCGAAAGCACATCCCATGCCACTGCGCAGACTTGCAATAGCCACGGTGAGGGCAACTCTTCACTTTTCTTATCTCTACGCCTCACTGAGTTCCCGAGGATCGCTTTCCGCACACCGTAACGCCGCTGGACTCCAACTCCCATCAACCCCAGCCACCGTGAGCGACGGCAAAGCTTGCCGGGAGCTGTAGTCCTCCCGAACCCCGCCGCTAGGGGGCGCAATTTCCCCACCTCTGACATACACGCTCACACGCAGGCGCGGAGGGAGTCTCTGCTAGGGAGCCACTAAGACAGCCCCGCCTCTCAGCCCAGCCGACGGGACTCCAACTCCCATCAACCCCCAGCCAGCGTGGCGGACGGCCGGGAACGACGGGAGTTGTGGTCCGTAACAACAGCCACGCACTCCCTGAGCCAAACCCGCCCTCCCCGGAAGTAACCCGGATGCTGCAGCGGACTCCAACTCCCATCAGCCCCTCCCGGCCGGCCTAACGGCGGAGGACGACGGGAGTTGTAGTTCTTCCCTCAGAAGAGGCGCCGTCGGCAGCGGAGCGGCGCTTAGCAACGGCAGAAGGCCGGCGAGGATGTGCAGGCCGCGTCCGCCCGCCTGAGGCGACGTGAGGAGGCCGCCATGGGCTGCCGGTGACGGGCCTCTCCGCCTCCTTCTCCGGCCATGGCGCCCATGGGGATCCGGCTGTCCCCTCTGGGGATGGCCGTCGTGGGCCTGCTGGGCCTGGGCGTCCTCTACCACCTCTACTCGGGGATCCTGGCCGGCCGCTTCGCCTTCTTCATGCTGGGCGGCGGAGGAGGAGAAGGGGAGTCGGCGGCGGCGGCGGCGGGCGGCTCCGAGGCGGCGGGCGGGCCTCCGGCCTCGGGCACCGTGGACCTGCGGGAGCTGCTGGCGGCCTCGGTGGCGGCGGCGGCCCGAGGCGGCGCCGAGGTGAGGCGGGTCCGCGACAGCAACGTCCTCAACGAGAAGGCCAAGGGCAAGACCCGCGAAGGGGCCGACGAGAAGATGACCAGCGGGGACGTCCTCTCCAACAGGAAGATGTACTACCTGCTCAAGGCCGCCTTCCCGGGGGTGCAGGTGAGGGTGTAGGCCGCCTTTTCTCGCTCGAGGCGGCGCACAAAATTCTCCCCCCTCTTTTAATCCCCACCACAACCACCCTGCGAGGTAGGGAGGCTAAGAGGTGGCGACTGACCCCGGAGCTTCATGGCCCAGCGGGGATTCGAACTCAGCTCTCCCTGAGGGCAGCCCTGTTTAGGAAAGCTTTTGATGTTACAGTGGTACCTCGGGTTACAGACGCTTCAGGTTACAGACGCTTCAGGTTACAGACGCTTCAGGCTATAGACTCCGCTAATAGTAGAAATAGTATACAGTGGTGCCCCTTAAGACAAATGCCTCGCAAGACGGAAAACCCGCTAGACGAAAGGGTTTTCCGTTTTGGAGGTGCTTCGCAAAACGAATTTCCTATGGGCTTGCTTCGCAAGACGAAAATGTCTTGCGAGTTCCCGCGGGGTTTCCCCCCCCCTTTTCCCAAGCCGCTAAGCCGCTTATCAGCTGATCCGCTAAGCCGCTTAACAGCTGATCGCTAAGCCACTTAACAGCTGATCCGTTAAGCCACTAAGCCGCTTATCAGCTGATCCGCTAAGCCCGCTAAGCCACTAATACTGTAGCGCTAATCCACTAAACCGCTAATGGGCTTGCTTCGCAAGACGAAAAAACCGCAAGACGAAGAGACTCGCGGAACGGATTCTTTTCGTCTTGCAAGGCACCACTGTATACTATCCAGGTACTATCCAGAAATAGTACCTTGGGTTAAGAACTTTGCTTCAGGATGAGAACAGAAATCGTGCGGCGGCAGCGGGAGGCCCCATTAGCTAAAGTGGTGCTTCAGGTTAAGAACAGTTTCAAGTTAAGAACGGACCTCTAGAACAAATTAAGTACTTAACCCAAGGTACCACTGTATTGTATTTTAGTGTTCTGTTGGAAGCTGCCCAGAGTGGCTGGGGAAACCCAGCCAGATGGGCGGGGTGTAAATAATAAATTATTATACTATTATTACAGTGGTACCTCGGGATAAGTACATGGTTGCAGCGTGAGATGTGGTCAAGGTTCTTAAGTTCCCTAATTTATGAGAGCAGAGGACATGGTGTTTATAGGCGTAAGGGGTAGAGATGCAGGCGTAGCCAACAGTGCAGTCCTGTCCATTGCCTGTTCAGAAGTAAGACTCCTCCTTGGGAGTTTGGTGAGATGTACAGTGGTACCTCAGGTTAAGTACTTAATTCGTTCTGGAGGTCCATTCTTAACCTGAAACTGTTCTTAACCTGAAGCACGACTTTAGCTAATGGGGCCTCCTGCTGCCACCGCCCAATTTCTGTTCTCATCCTGAAGCAAAGTCCTTAACCCGAGGTACTATTTCTGGGTTAGCGGAGTCTGTAACCTGAAGCGTATGTAACTCGAGGTACCACTGAGGTACCATTGAGTCTGATACTCAAGTGGATTTACATATAAGCTAAACAAGCTATAGCTTAGGGCCCCACTCTCTTGCGCGTGGGTAGGCAAACTAAGGCCCGGGGCCGGATCCGGACAGTCCGGGAATCAGCATGTTTTTACATGAGTAGAATGTGTGCTTTTATTTAAAATGCATCTCTGGGTTATTGGTGGGGCATAGGAATTCATTCATTCCCCCCCCCCCAAAATATAGTCTGGCCCCCCACAAGGTCTGAGGGACAGTGGACCGGCCCCCTGCTGAAAAGGTTTGCTGACCCCTGCTCTTGGGGCCCCCCCCCCAAAAAATGAAAAAACCTGGATGTACATTTCCAAAATATAAGATAAAAAACAAATAAAATAAAAGCTACATACACCAACAGTGTTTTGTGTTGTGTAGGTTCCTATGATGTAAGTCATGGGCCCCGTCTGCTCCCTAAAATATCACTGGTTTGCTCATTTCTATATATAGGGTGCCTACATTCTGCATGTGCAAATGGCTTGAGATACCTATTAGGTCCATAAATTACCATATAGCATATACTCAACACAAAAAGCAGCAACCATTTGTTGTTGACAAAGGACAGCTGGATACATAAAGGGCCCCATTACCGTCAGCAGCTTACGGCCTCATCTCACCTAAATCCGGCCCTGCTCAAGCCCAGTGATTCTCAAGCTTGGATCCCCGGCTGTTGTGGGACTACAGCTCCCCTCATCCCTAGAATTGCAAGGTCTGTCAGCCAGAGTCGGGTGCAAAAGAGGTACCACATTTTTCCGTGTGTGAGATGCCCCCATGTATAAGACTATCCCTATTTTATTGAGGGACGCGGGTGGCGCTGTGGGTAAAACCTCAGCGCCTAGGACTTGCCGATCGCATGGTCGGCGGTTCGAATCCCCGCGGCGGGGTGCGCTCCCGTCGTTCGGTCCCAGCGCCTGCCAACCTAGCAGTTCGAAAGCACCCCCGGGTGCAAGTAGATAAATAGGGACCGCTTACCAGCGGGAAGGTAAACGGCGTTTCCGTGTGCTGCGCTGGCTCGCCAGACGCAGCTTGTCATGCTGGCCACGTGACCCGGAAGTGTCTGCGGACAGCGCTGGCCCCTGGCCTATAGAGTGAGATGGGCGCACAACCCTAGAGTCTGGCAAGACTGGCCCGAACGGGCAGGGATACCTTTACCTTACCTTTATTTTATTGAACCAAAAATTAAGAAACCAGTAGTCGTACCTTGGTTCTCGTACATTTTGGCTCCCAAAATCCCGAAAATTCCAGTTTTTGAACAGTTTTCGGAAGCTGAACATCTGACGCAGCTTCTGCTTGAGTGCAGGAAGTTCCTGCAGCCAATCAGAAGCCGCACCTTGGTTTTCAAACATTTCGGAAGTCAAGGAGACTTCTGGAACAGATTATGTTTGAGAACCAAGGTACGGCTGTGACTTAGGGTTGCCATATCCCTAGAAGTGAGAATCCAGATGATCAGCGGCAATGGAAAGGCATTGAGCTTTTCTTTTTGGGTGAACAACCACAAAGCTATTTAGCTTTTCTGGGGCAAACATGCGCTCCAACACAGACATTTGCTAACAAATGAAAAAATCGCCAGGGCGGTCAGCCTGCAATGGTTCCGGCAGCTTCTTCCAGCAGCTTCTTCATGGCAGCCACAGCAAATTAAGTTATGTGCATTCACCATCCCTGTATAAGGCGACCCCAATTTTTTACTTTTTTTCTGTGTGTGCAAGAAACGTCTTATACACAAAAAAATGGTAATCAGAATGAAAGAGTGTGATGTTGCTTCTGAGCCAAGGAACTTTGTTTTCAGAACCAGAACTGCACTGAGCTCAAAGTCCTTGTGCTCAAAAAACTGTTTTCCCTGCTCCCCATTTCACCAGCCTAGTTTAGGCAGGGAAGGCATTTTCGTTGTTGTTAACTGAGAACCAGAAACCCTTGCCAATCTAACAGCCCCGAGACCTGCCAGTAGATCTCCAATCTACCTTCCTGCTGACCCCTGGCATAGATTTCCCTTGCTTCCCTTGCTTTCCATTTTCTGTTTGCTTATCTAAAATAAATTGTGTGCTTCAGCAGGGACTGTATACATTGGGGGTGGGGGTGGCCCTGAATAGTCAAAAGAAGTGTACAGTTTAGCTTTACAAGTGTACATTTAGCTTTACGAGAAAGGTGGTGACTCTCACCTATGAGACTAAACAGTGTTAGTATAGTGTTACCTCTGGTTAAGAACTTAATTCGTTCCGGAGGTCCGTTCTTAACCTGAAACTGTTCTTAACCTGAGACACCACTTTACTTAATGGGGCCTCCCGCTGCTGCTGTGCTGCCGCCGCGCGATTTCTGTTCTTATCCTGAAGCAACCTTCTTAACCCGAGGTGCTATTTCTGGGTTAGCGGAGTCTGTAACCTGAAGCGTCTGTAACCCGAGGTACCACTGTAATAGTAATAGCATTTACTGAGAGCCTTTTCATTTAAAGTATTTAACATACAAAATCTTTGGGATATCTCTTGGGGGTAGACCAGTATTACAGAGTTAAAGAAGGACTTGCCTAATGCGGTGTTTTGGCAAGTCTCCTGTCCCCATATGGATTAATCCTCCGAATTTTATTTGTATTTCTGAAAGCTGATACTTCTGTCCATCTCAAAAAACATGTGGCTAACTTGTCTGAATTACTAGAGGGAGGTTCCTTGGGTCACCTCTGCCAAATGCCTTAGCAGTTGCTATGTCCTTGTTTTTGGAATGCCCATAGACAACTGGGATAGCTGTTAGTAGAACATGAGACTCTAACCTCAGGCTCATGGATCCAAGCCCCACCTTGGGCAAAGGATTCCTGCATTGCACAGGGTTGGAATAGATGACCCTAGTGGTACCTCTCAATTCTATGATCTCACATTAAGACTTTATTGAGCTGTCTTTAGAACACTTTATAAGATCCCCATGTTTTTTCAGTGCATTTCTCTGATATTCTGATAAGCAGAGCACTTCTAGAAGCAGGGAGGAGTCAAGAGTCAATATCAAGGTGTTTCTCTTTTTGATAATGGGGCATTATGCTCATGTAAGAGCCTCCTGATTTGCAGACTTCTGAACGGATGTATTTCTGTGGCCATTTGAGTACAGTGGTACCTTGGGTTACATACGCTTCGGGTTACAGACTCCACTAACCCAGAAATAGTACCTTGGGTTAAGAACTTTGCTTCAGGATGAGAACAGAAATCGTGCTTCGGCGGCAGCGGGAGGCCCCATTAGCTAAAGTGGTGCTTCAGGTTAAGAACAGTTTCAGGTTAAGTACGGACCTCCTGAACAAATTAAGTACTTAACCCGAGGTACCACTGTATAATCCATGAGTTCTTTTGAGTACTGTCTGTGCTTCTTACATTTTATAGCTAGCTGATTCTACTTGTTGGCAGGCTGTAACGAGACATGATGTGGACATAAAGCTGCAGGACAGGTTTTCTCTAGTAACACAGCAACCTTCTCTAGTACGGTTCCTGACTACACTCTGTGATGACCTGATAGATAAATTCAGCTTTCCTCTATCCACACATATAACAGCTGCAACATCAATAACTGGAGAGTTTTGCTTTTCTACAGACACTGCTTTTGTGCTGTGACCAGTGGTATCTCTGTCGCAAAGGATTCTATTTACACTATCTCCTTCTCTTGAAGAGACCAGGCTTGCATGCTACAGTAGTGCGCAAGAGCCTTTTTGTTTGATGTATTACTTAACAGTTTCTGCCACGTTGACGCTGGTTAGTTGCACCCTGTTTCTGCTGTGTTTATGCCCAATACAGTCTATACCAGGCATCCCCAAACTCGGCCCTCCAGATGTTTTGGGACTACAACTCCCATCATCCCTAGCTAACAGGACCAGTGGTCAAGGATGATGGGAATTGTAGTCCCAAAACATCAGGAAGGCCGAGTTTGGGGGTGCCTGGTCTATACTCACTGGTGGCAGCTCTCCAGGATTCGAAACCGTGTTCTCTCTCATCCCTAACTGAAGTTGTTGGGTTGGACCTTGGACCTTTTGCCTGCAAAGAGCTATGGCTCTTCATCTGTGAATGTCATATTCTCATACTTTAAACCTCCACTGCTACTGCTTCCCATTCCCCATCCCTCTATTTCAGAGTATGACAGGTAGAAGAACTTAGTTATACAATAGGGACTGCTCAGGGTCTGAATTGTGAAATGCACACTAGGGGTCTGAAAGAATCCACTTATCAAAACATCTGTGTATTACATGTGATGTGACACCCACACCCAGTTTCATTTCAGTTTTGACTTTAGCACTGCCTTGCTGCTTTAAGCCCCACATTGGGGAATTATATTAATCCTCTTCAGGCATTGTTAGCACTGAAGAACGCATGGGTGGGGATGAATGGACTAGCTGTTCCCTTCATGCGTTAGAGGGCAAACCTCTGAAACTTTGAGCCTCCTGGACTCCCTGCCTGTTTAGAACCCTTAAAATCCACAAAGACTGGATGTTTCTCTCTTCAACTCGTAGTGAGCAAAGAGTGGGGCATGGAGTCATTCATTCCCACTGTTGCTCCTCATGTGTGAACATGGAAGAATCCATTAAGATGCTCATTTAACAGGTGCAAGAAGAAAGCTAACAGTTACAGTGGTCGTGTGTGTGTGTGTGTGTGTGTGTGTGTGTACACACATACAGTCATACTTTGGGTTACAGACGCTTCAGGTTGCGTTTTTTTCGGGTTAAGGGCCCACCAAAACCTGGAAGTACCGGAACAGGTTACTTCTGGGTTTCAGGGGTTGCGCCTGCGCAGAAGCGCTAAATCATGCTTTGTGCAGAAGTGCCAAATTGCAACCCGCGCATGCGCAGACGCGCTGCTGCGGGTTGCAAACGTGCATCTCACACGGATCACGTTCACAACCCGAGCACCCACTGTATATGTGTATATATGTGTGTGTACACACACACATATATAAATGTATATAAACATGTATGAATTGGGGGAAAGAAAATTTTCTGTAATTCTTGAATTATTATGAACAAATACCATAAACATTAAAGGATTGACTCTTGCATTTTGCTAAGCATGCTCAAATCCGGTCATTATTTCATTGGATTTGGGTTTAAACCGTTTGGTAAATAATGTTGCTACTGGGTTTTCTTATTGCTACATGGGAATTTCGCATTCTCAACTGTCTCAAGTGAATGCAATCTCCATCTCTGGGAATCTTAAGCATGGCAGTTTGGCGGTTGTGGAACTTCGGTGAAGTTGGTAAATATATCCTGACTGCGTAACAGATGAAACAGATATATATATAAGTGTGTGTAAGACATTGTTGCACTGTGGAGAAATTCCCTTTCACTGGATTACCTAATCTGAATTGATCTGAACTCGCTTTGGCATATTTGTGCAAAGCAAAATAAAAAATAAGGTGTCTTTGGGATTAATAGATCCCAAACTGTTTCCCCCCATAGGCCACATGAAAATTGCTGAGAGTCTTGGCTTAATGATTGTTTTGCCTGTTGTAGCAACCGTAGTGCGCTGTGCCTGATGCAGGATGGTTTTAATTGGTTACTTTATTTTTTAGATGATATTTTATTATATTACAATTTGCATTTCACAAAACCTGTAAGAGTAGGTGTACATGCTTTTACTGCATTTCATAGGTGTTCTAATTTTTAATGGGTTAAGTTTTTGGATACATACTGTGTGAAAAACAAATGGCACGCTGTGAAACAAAACTGTTTGGGAGAAGTATTGAATTGGCATAGTGAAATTTAGTGGAGTTTTTGAGCAGTCACGTGTAATCATTAAAATATTGTATGCATGCTCTTTTGGAGGTGAAAGTTCCAGGGAAGGAATGGAAGTGTTGCAACAGTTACATGCTTATTTAATTACATACTCTCTCTTTGTCATTAGATAAACACAGAGGAACATGTAGATGCAGATGACCAGGAGATAATTTCTTGGGACCGAACTATTCCTGAAGCTATAAAGAACCAAATTCAGCCTAAATTGGTCCAAGCAGACAGTGTTACTGTGTGGATTGATCCGTTGGATGCAACTCAGGAATATACAGGTAACCAGCACTGAGCTACTTTTGGCTTACTGCTACTCTGTGTAGCACCCCACCCTCTACAATGGCATCTCACAAGGGCAGCTCCCTATCATGACTGGGGGGAATTAACTTTAACATTGTGCTTGTATGCTATGGCTCATACACTTTAATTTTACAAAGCCTAGCCTTTCTCTGGGGGACGCAGGTGGCGCTGTGGGTTAAACCACAGAGCCTTGGACTTGCCGATCAGAAGGTCGGCAGTTCGAATCACCGCGACGGGGTGAGCTCCCGTTGCTCGGTCCCTGCTCCTGCCAACCTAGCAGTTCGAAAGCACGTCAAAGTGCAAGTAGATAAGTAGGTACCGCTCCTGCGGGAAGGTAAACGGCCTTTCTGTGCACTGCTCTGGTTCACCAGAAGCGGCTTAGTCATGCTGGCCACATGACCCGGAAGCTGTACACCGGCTCCCTCGGCCAATAAAGCGAGATGAACGCCGCAACCCCAGGGTTGGTCGCGACTGGACTTAATGGTCAGGGGTCCCTTTACCTTTACCTTTAGCCTTTCTCTTATACAAAAATTAAAGGAATTTGTCTGATCATGGGATAGTGCTGCCTGTGGGAAACTACTTTGCACCTTTTAATGGTCCCATGGACTTCTGGAGTGAGACGTTTGTGGTTTGCAGCATAAATCAGGTTGGAATTAGAAGACAGTAGGCGTGTTTTTTTGTAGTGATGCTGGGTGTGGCTTCCCTTCTTTTTTTCCTTTACTTAATGTGTGGACTTATTTATAGATCTATGTCACGCTTGAACAAAAATCTTGCAGGCTTCTGCTTGAAATGGGGATTGGGTGTGTGTGACGTGACATATTTTTGGATAGTTCCATAAACTGCCAGAAGTTGCAGGATGCTGTCCAAGCTACTTAACATGGCAACTGAACAATAGCAGCCTACATGGTGGCCTCCAGACATTGTTGGACTACAACTCCCAGCATTCCTGACCATTGGCCATTCTGGGTTCTGTTGTCATTACGGCAAGGTTCAGATGTTAACTCCAAGCTATTGTTTTGATCTAGCCCTGTTGGAGCAAGCCTTGTGCTCGCATAATCCCTGTTTCTCCTTCTGTTCACTCATTTGGGTTCATGTCAGTCACGAACCATAGTTTGCCATTACCTCCAAAGCACAATGGTTTCTGCAAAAGGGGCAGTAATTAAGTTGAAGGAATGAATGTGAGCAGAGGAGGGGGTCCTTTTTCCTTTAACAGAAGGCTTTTTCCTTTAACACCAAATCATTACACTAAACCAGCTCCTTGAGTAATGAAACAAATCAATATTTTAAATATTTCATTAGCATAATTTCTTCTGGGATTTGGAGTAAAGGGGAAACAATCTAAGAACTCAAATATGCAAGAGAGTTAAGCTGTTGAACACGAGAGAATAATTGGTGTTCAATTACTGCCATCTTAAGTGCATTCTGATTTATGTTGAAACTTCTGCTGGATATTAAATCCAGACTGTGTTTTGTGTTGGCTCTTGTGCATAGGTTAAGTAAATACAATATCTGAAGCCTGGGATTGAAAGGGGGAAGAGCAGAATAGGACTGTGTACTTACAGGAATACTATTCAATCAAAATGATATAATACACAAATACCCAAAGTTAGATTTACTTTCTAATTTTGCACCTTTCAGGTTGGTGTCTTGCCTTGTCATATCTGGTTTAAAAGTTAGTTTAGTGTTGTGCTTTACGCTGTACAAATGAGAAGTGTTGACATTCTTCCTATCCTCCCTTCAGAGAATCTTCGACAGTATGTTACTACTATGGTCTGTGCAGCTGTAAATGGTAAGCCAGTAATAGGAGTAATACACAAGCCATTTTCTGGATACACAGGTATGTGACATAGTTTTATTTCCATTCACAATGGTGTGAATAGTGATGTATGATTCCTAACCCTCAGCAGGGTAAAATGGATTGATTTTAGAATGCTGTATTATTTTACTGTTGTTAGCCGCTCTGAGCCCAGCTTTGGCTGGGGAGGGCAGGATATAAATAAATTATTATTATTATTATTATTATTATTACTATGGTTGATGCTGTGGCACCTTATAGGTGCAGGGCTGGGCGATGTTAGATTTTCAACATTGCGATGTATCACCAGCCAGACATTGCGGTTTAGCGATATACCGCGATGTTGAAACAAGCTGCCTTGGCCCCAGCCTGCTAGACGTAGGGTGAAACTGCCACAGCTCTCACCGCCGGAGCTGGGGCCCCCTCACCCCAGCGCCTTGCAGGCTAGGGCCAATGCAGCTGGTCCAGGCCACTGCTCAGCGGGGGGGCGGGGGGAGGAGGGCTCTCCCCACCCCAGCTAAGCGACCCCTGACACCTCAGCAGCATCGGGCTTCACGCACCTGGGGCATAGAAGAAGTCTCTCCCCACCCCAACTGAGCGACCCGATGCGTCTGAGGTTTTGGGGTTGCTCAGATGGGAAAGGGCAGTTTCATGGAGGCCCCACTCCACTGCCGGCTGGGGCAAGCCAGTGCCGACCTGGGGGCTCTGTTAAATGCTTGGCTGAAGGGAAGTGGCAACCGGGCACCCCTCAGCCCAGCAGTTTAAAGATGCGGAGGGAGGAACAAGCTGCATCAGTGCCTCGCCGCTGCACCTTGTTTCTCCCTCTGCTCCGTCTGAGGGCAGACCGTGATATCGGTTTCACTCAGCGGTATATCGCTGGTGAAACTGCTGTGCATAGCTGTCAACTTTCAGATTTGAAAATAAGGGATCAGCAGCCTCGAAAATAAGGGATCAGCAGCCTCACCTGTGCCGGGGACAGTCTACGGGATAGCTGACAATCCGGGATAGCAGCGGGAAGCAGTGGGAAACAGTGCTGGAATAAGGGAATTTCCTGCAAAAAAAGGGAAGGTTGACAGCTATGCTGCTGTGCTTCTGAGTCCCTCTGCTAGCAGCACCCTCTGGATGAAGTTGCGCTGCTAGCAGAGACACTCAGGAGCGCAGCGGTTTCATGAGCGATATACCACTGAGTGAAACCAACATCGCGGACTGCTCCTCATACCGGTCCTGGGCGATATATTGATACATCGCCCAGACCTAGTGTGGTGCTGATAACGCCAAGGTTGCAGGTTCGATTCCTGTATGTGACAGCTGCAAATTCCTACATTCCAGTTGGACTAGATAATCCTTGGGGTCTCTTCCAACTCTACCATTCTGTGATTCCATTTGAGATGTGCTGGCCAAAGGAATGGCATGTATGCATACTAGATACCGAAAGATATAGAATCATAGAACTGTAGAATTGGAAAGGGATCATCAAGTCGAATCCCTGCAATGCTGAAACCTGGAACTGGGCTTGGTGGCTCTTCCTGAAATTCAGGAAGAAATAGGAATACAGAAGCATAAGGGTTTTTTTGCCAAATACAGCTGGGTAGCCCTGAAAACCCTTAAGCTTCTGCCAAGCAATTGGAAGGCCCAGCTACCCACCCACTGGCCACTGATGACATGCCTGTTTTGCAGCCTGGGCGATGGTTGGCGGAGGATCAAATATTAAGCCTCGTTCTTCCTACAATGAGCAGACACCAACAATCATTGTCTCCCGTTCCCATGAAGGGAAAGTCAGGCAGCTTGCTTGGCAGACCTTTGGAAATAAAACTGCAATCATTAAAGCTGGAGGAGCAGGTTTGTTCTCTTGAATCTATTGTCCCTCATTTTATTTATGCAGAAATAGTTAGTGCACTGGAAATGTACATGGTTGCAGTGTGAGATGTGGTCAAAGTTCTTAAGTTCCCTAATTTATGAGAGCAGAGGACATGGTGTTTATAGACGTAAGGGGTAGAGATGCAGGCGTAGCCAACAGTGCAGTCCTGTCCATAAGTAAGCTCCTCCTTGGGAGTTTGGTGAGACGTACTCCTAAGTAAGTGTATATTGGGTTGCTGCCATTGTCTTTGGCGATCCCTCATAGCCGAGTAAGATTGTCTACCATGAACACGGTCTTAACGCTGTGTCTGTAAGTGACTGTGGAGGCCAATTTTGGATCCACACATCCTTGCACTGTGGGAACATAGGTTTCTGGCCGGGAGTTGATCACAGTGAGGGTTTCTAAAACATGCCTTCCTCTTAGCTCATTTCTTCCTGAGTTTGTGCTTCTTTAAGGTCCATGACACCTTTGGTAGAGACTATTCCCCAATTGGAATGCTCACAGGCCAGTGTTTCCCAATTACCCATGCTTATACTGGATTTTTAAAGATTTGCCTTGAGAACACCATTAAACCTCTTTTGTTGTCCATTGGTATTTTGCTTTCCATTCTTAAGTTGGGAATAGAATACAGTCATACCTTGGATCCCAAACACCTTGGTACTTGGACGTTTTTGCTCCCGAATGCTGCAAACCCAAAAGTGAGTGTTCTGGTTTGCGAACGTTCTTTGGAACCCAAACATCTGACAGGGCTTCCGATTGGCTGCAGGAGCTTACTGAAGCCAATCAGAAGCCGTGCTTTGGTTTCTGAACGTTTTGGAAGTTGAACGGACTTCCGGAACGGAATCTGTTTGACTTCCAAGGTACGACTGTAGTTACTTTGGAAGATGATAATCAGGCATCCGAACCACATGACCAGCCCAATGAAGTTGATGTTGAAGAATCATTGCTTTGACACTGGTGAACTTTGCTTCTTCCAGTACACTGACATTAGTTCGCCTGTCTTTCCAAGTGATATGTAAAATTTTCCAGAGACACCATTGTTGGAATCTTTCGAGCCTGAAGGCACTTAATTGATGTGGAGAGGTGCTAGATTTTCACTAGGTAGTGGATCTTTGAAAGATTAACAGTTTGGGAAGCTGTATCACCTGGCAAATTAGTTCAGGAGCGGTTGCCAGTTTAAGCGTTTGAAATGATTACGGTTCTCCAGGCAACAGAGTGATCAAATAGTTAATTTAGAAATATAAAATTTCTCGGAGGACACTGTTTATGGTTGGCGAACAGTAAAAACGTTGCCATATCTGATGGGAGTTAAACTCTTTAGGTTTTTTCCTTGCTTCTGTGATTACTCTGTAACTACCAAATGAAAGTAGGTTGCAAAATGGTCCTGTGTCAGGTTTGCCTTGCAAGGCTGCCCAGTTATTTCTCTTCACATGCTGCTGTTCGGCTGTACTATTACCAAATTTCATGCACAACAAAATAAAAGCAGTAAAAAATAAAAAATACTACAAATAAAAATATAAAAATCAATAAGTAGTAAAATACATACTTTTTTTTAAAACAACTGTCATTATATAATATTTTCTCAGACTAAGAATACCAGCAGCTTTTGGAGTTTGATAAATATGGGTCATTAGTAGACCATAGAGTTGGGAGAGTCCAAAACACTGTTGGTGGGTCTAGCATGCACAATTCCTCAGTCTCCATATCAGTTTCTGGAGTCGTCCAGGATGCACTGTACCTGCCATGACAAAGGGTGTGTCCTGCAGAAGCAAATACTTCTGTTTACACTGAATCAGCAGGTGTCTCTTGTGCTTTCTTTTGCAGACAGGGAGTCCTGGGTAAGAGCAAACCGCTTCCTTAGTCACACACTTGCAGTGAACAGTGTTCTCTGCCCAAATCTCCACACTGGTGATGGTGACCATGGGTGTATGTATGCCATTACATAACCCATGAGAGAGGCTGTAGTTTGTTCAAGTTTTGATCGAGCTTTCGAACTGTTTAGCTAAACCCAAAGTTTTAAGAATTTTCTTTGTGTAAAGAAGCATAGTTTTGCACGGACAGCCTACAGGGAGTAGCTCAAACACACCCACACCTGCTTGTAAAATATACGTAATGAGCTCTCAATTATTTCCTACCCAGGATACAAAGTTCTCTCGCTCCTGGATGTGCCTGAGAAGGATCAGGAAAAAGCCGATGTGTACATTCATGTGACGTACATCAAAAAGTGGGACATCTGTGCTGGCAATGCAGTGCTGAAGGCACTAGGAGGTCAAATGACTACACTGGCTGGGGAGGAAATCAGTTACACGGGTTCAGATGGCAACGAAGGCGGGCTCATAGCTAGTATCAATATAGACCACAGAGCGCTGGTTGAAAAACTCCCTGTATTAGACAAGGCATCTCAGAATTAAATTCTGAAGAGTGACCAAGTCAAGTCGTGCTTCTGGAGCCTGCAAATGGTCCTTTAGAGGTGGGGGAACGTGCGTCTGGCCTTTGGAAGATGGCAGAGGAATATTCTTTTGGAAAACTGCATAGACCCTGGCCGCCTCCTAGACCCTGGCAGCGTTCAGAAGCAAGGTTACTGGGACTCGGTGTCCTTACGCCTCAACATCAAGCTTTTAATTTCCGAGACTGTTTCGTGTCCATAACACCAAGGCCAGATAACGCTTGGAAGAACACAAGCAAGATCCGGTTCTGGAAAACACTCACATTCTGTTATAGTATTCTTTGTATTGTGTGACAAAAGAAAAGATTGGCTGTGGGTCACTTGAAATCAGTGGATAGGTATTCTTCATCCCTTTGGGATACAAAGGTCCAAGAAGGCCAGATCATCTTCCTCGGACAATTGTCTAATCTTGGGTGCAATTTGAAATGGAAAAGGCAATGTTTGGGTCTATTTTTAATGTCTGAAAATTCAAACCAGCTTAATGTGGATGAGAGTGTTAATATTTGTGTGGTTTTATTATAATCTTTAATTATAACATTTTCTGTGTGTCATGTTAAAAGAAAAGATTTCCCCTTGTACAGTTTCAGCTATTGGATATTGCCATTCCAAGCTGTCGAATTTCTTAAAACTCTTTAACATCCCGCGTTCGAGCTGATAAAGAAGTCATTTATCTTTGGTGATCATTTAATAAGCTACTTGATAAGAGAGCGAGTGATATTATGAATTATGATTATGAATTATGTGCAGCTGTCTTTACAGGGAATCTAAAAGTGTCTTCCTGGCTGCCATAACTGTTACACTGTGTGGACATTTCCTTTGAAAGGCTGGCCCCAGTTTTTGATTTGTCAGTTCAAAACTCTCACCCTGTTGTGGTGCTTGGCGGTCAGTCTTCGCAGGAGAGTTGTAGGAATTTGCCAACGATTCAGAGGAACATGAGTGTATTTGACAACTTGTTTTCTGCCCTTCAGACATGCCCACCTCTTAAGAAACCAGCCTTTTTGCCCCTTTATGTTAAATAAAATAAAATAAACCCCTGTATCAGTGTGATGAATATCTGTGACTGTGAAAAACAAGATTTTAAGCCTGTAATTTGCAAATGATTAACTGATGTGATTAATCAAGGTTTGCAAACATATTAAATTGCACCCACCACCCCACCAAGCAAAAGCATATGATTTGGGCCTCCTGGGTCCCTGGTGTACTGATTCACAATCTCTCCTGGATGACACAAAGGGCTCTAAAATACCATGTTTGAAGTTGCATAAAGCTGGTTATCTGAATGTGGTGGGGGATGCAACTCATAAAACCATGTCTCGTTTTCAGTTTTCCTACAAGGATTTTCTGGTGCTTTTGGTTAGTATATTAACTGGATCATTTTCATTTTTAAAAACAGGTAATTAGTAACTAACAGCGATCCTACACACTTCTGCTCAGAAAAAAGTAGTATTGTCTTCCACGGAGCTTATTCCCAGTTAAGGTGCATATAGTTTTATATAGCAGAGTTGAACCATGGAACTCTCTGCCACAAGAGGCAGTCGTCGCCACCAACTTGCAACTTCCGCTCAGGATTCTCCCCAGGCTAAGCCCAGCGTCACCCAGCGTGCTCTGCGCCCTCCTCAAATGCTTTTGCCTGGCTGGGGAGTTTCCTGGAACAGTGAATCTGCATTTTCCAATGCAATTGTTCAATATAAAATCTAGTCTGGAAACAGAAGAAATGAGCACTGAACCACTGATATAGTACAAGTGAATTCTTTATTTACTGCTTTTGCGAGTGTTAAAGATAAAACCTATTTGGGAAAGAAAGTACATCTGCCTTTTCAGTGGACCTTTATTGTTTGTTTGCATATAGTTGCCTCGGTGATAGTATCTTGTGTTTGCAGTAGCCATTGTAACGCCACCCTGATCATTGTTTTATTGTTTAAAGCGGCATCTTACTGCCTCCAATGGACAGTGCAAATGGGTCCTGATGTTTCCTCCCCTCGTTTTGGTGAAACTGCTTGGAACACAGCTTGTTTCATCAGATGATGTGTCTTCCTGAAATTCACATGCACGGTGGTAAATGGAGAGGTGAGAGAAATGTGGAAAGAACAGACTGCAATGGTGACAGACGGGAATTGCCCCATCATTTGCAATCCAGCAGAAGTCCGCTTGCAGTCTCCCTTCAAAGTTCCTTCCTTCAGGTAGCGCCACGACATTCTGGGATCAAATTAGAAACTGGGGCAACTGCCCCTGGAAAATAGGATCACTTGGAGGGTTTGCTTTCCCTGTGGGGTCATTTTACAGTACATTTCCCTCTGAATTCACCTCCCATATCGCCAACCACCTATAAGTGGTGGGCTGACAAAAGCAATTGTGATTTCATTTTATTTTATTGGCAGCTGCGTAGGTGAGATGAGCCCACAGGGCACAAATGTTGGCAACTCGATTCTGTGTCTCCAGCTGGCCCTGCCTGCCCCCAGACTCCAGGGGCTGCTCCCCCCCTCCAGAAACTGCCTCTTTCCCCTCATTTGCCATGTCCGTTTGTGACATCACAGGGAGTTGGTGGATGTCTGTGACATCACAGGTAGTGTGTAGCCAATGGCCACAGCTGGGGAAACATCTGCACAGCCCTCGCTGGCCTCACAATGGGGGGGGGCACCTCAGCAGTCATTAAAAATGAGGTGACCCCCCCCATTGTGAGGCCTGGGAGTGCTGTGCAGATGTTTCCCCAGCTGTGGCCATTGGCTACCAACTCCCTGTGATGTCACAAGGGGGTGCAGCCCCCTCTTCCTGTGACATGACTACTTAGAGATTTCCCATACAATAAAAACATGGCACAAAACAGATTTCTTTTCAGAAAACGTTTATTTTGAATAAAAATTAGAAAGCCGTTTATTTAGAAAACAGGAGCTGTCTGGCTTAAGTCCTGCGGTTCTCTTCATGACTTTCACGGCTGGTCTATGGGGGAAACCTCGCCGGCTCCAGCCATCCCTGAAAGGCAAAGGCAAACAGATGAGTGGGGTGGCCGCCATCCGACAGCGTCCACCCAGACCCCTTGCCTTCTCCTTGCTCCACAGCATCCCAACGCCAGGCGATCGCCTCCTTCTGCTTGCCAGCCTGCAGCCACCGTCTGGTCTTGGGGAAAACCTCGCCGGCATTGGATGTGCCTGAAAGGCAAAGGCAAACACGTTGATGGGATGGCGACTATCACAGCGTCCACCCAGACTCTTCCACAGGCTTTGGTCTGACAACTTCATCCCTGACTGGCCTGCCCCGTCAAGGCAGGTTGCAGAAGTGGAGGGTCACCAGTTTGAAGCGGTAGATCCACATGGGACTACACTGGTTTCCCTGGTTTCCACCTCTAGGGCTGTGCCGGGTAGTTTCCCTCCTCGCTTTGGCCGTCGACGTAAGGTCAAGAGCTCTACGAATGTCAGCAAGCTGACATTCTCAAAAGGTAGGTCTGTTGACCTTAGGTTGAGGGCCAAAGACAAAGGTGAGTGTCACCAGATAGCGTTCACAAATGGATCGGCCAGCTTCACGGGCCTCTCAGCCTCCACTGACATCCCCAAATGTGAACCTGGCTTCACCTAGGCGCCACCACTAGAAGCCGATGGGCAACTTTCCCTCACCACAGAATTCGCCTAGGGACACTCACCCGCTGCCAAATGGGCAGCTTCCCTCCTCGGTTTGTCCGCCTGTTAATAAACAAACTAGGCTTCCAAACCCGTTTGCATCCCCTCGGCCAGTCTTGTAGCCTTGCGGCATCAACCAGGCACTGAATGCAAACCTTCCGGCAATCCGTCCACCACCAACAGCCGCGCCAGGTCCATTGCCAGACCTCCCCCTGCTTCAGAGCTGAATTTCATCCACCTTCAAGTGCGATCCCACCAGCAAGTAAACCTCAACTTGCCTTCTCCTTGCTCCACAGCATCCCAGCGCCGGCCGATCACCTCTGTCCTCTGGCCAGCTTCCGCCATGGGGCAGGGGACCACCCGAGCTGAGTGCCTCCACTGAGGCAACTGCCTCGGCCTTTGACTTGGCCAACATTTATACCCTCTCAGCTGCCCAATGTTTTTGTGGCCTCACAATGGCAGCATCTGGGGAGGCATCCCCATCACCTCTCAGACCTCACAATGAGGGGCGCAGCTCAGCAGCCATTGGCTCCTTGGCTTTTGACCAAGGAGATATATAACACCCCCCTCCCCAATTTGTGCCAGTATCTGTCCAAGGCCACACCGGAAACCCAGTGGGGCAGGAGGGGGGCATTTGTTAGCTTGTCACATGTGCTATGTCTCAGACTGGTTAAATTGTCAGTAGAGGGTTGTGGAGAGCCGGTAGATTCTGTAGGAGTGCATGATGACCCTGTTGAAGAGATCAGCCACAGCTAAGAAGCGGCAGGCGGCGTTTTCCCGGGCACACTCGGCACCAGCCAAGCGATCAATCACGCAGTGCCACCGGCGGAGATGCACCAATCGTAGTCCTCCCTGCCCACCCAGGGGCCGCCTCTTACCTTCTTTGGCGGAGCATCGGTTTTTTTTTTTTTTAAAATATAATCTTTATTAGCTTTCCAAACTTTATACTTCAAATACATATTATATTACATTTTACATTTATAGTGTGCTCCTATGAGCTGACTACTTCTGACTTCTTTATGTCGCTTCCAAATTTTTCACATTGTCTTTATCCATTCTATATATTGTTGTTCTGCTTACACATTTGTCCATAAAAGGTAAAATGCTGTTTACCTTCCCGCCGGAGCAGTACCTATTTATCTACTTGCACTTTGACGTGCTTTCAGACTGCTAGGTGGGCAGGAGCAGGGACCGAGCAACGGGAGCTCACCCCGTCGCGGGGATTCGAACCGCTGACCTGATCGGAAAGTCCTAGGCTCTGTGGTTTAACCCACAGTGCCACCCGCAAAATCTTGGCATTTATTAATATATTGGGTTTAAGGTGGGGAGGGGGTCATTCCCCCAAGCTTGTAACAATGTAACTGCTGCTGAAGGTAAAGGTACCCCTGACAATTAAGTCCAGTCACGAACGACTCTGGGGTTGCGCGCTCATCTCGCTCTGTAGGCTGAGGGAACCGGTGTTTGTCCGCAGACAGTTTTTCCAGGTCATGTGGCCAGCATGACTAAGCCGCTTCTGGTGAAACCAGAGCAGTGCATGAAAATGCCGTTTACCTTCCCGCCGGAGCAGTACCTATTTATCTACTTGCACTTTGAGGTGCTTTCGAACTGCTAGGTTGGCAGGAGCTGGGACCGAGCAACGGGAGCTCACCCTGTCGCAGGGATTCGAAGGCTGTGGTTTAACCCACAGCGCCACCCACATCCCCATTTGTCCATAAATTGTCTGTAAATAAATAAACCCTTCTATAAATACAATTCTTGTCTGTCTATATATTATTTGCAACCACCATTGGTTACTTTGATTACATTGTACTTCTTATTGTCATTATTATTATTAGTCCAATAAAAGTACTTATATTACACATTATGAACTTTATTTCAATTCTTCCGGTATCTCTATTTCACACACATCTTTCCTATGTACAACATAAACTTCTACCATTCTTTTTGAAATGTTCCATAACCTTGTTCAATTTCCCCCGTTAATTTGGCTATTTCCGCATTGACTATCTCTCTATGGTCGCACTTGGCTCCGCCCCTTCCGGGCGCGAGGGCGGGATTTCCCTTCGCTGTCCCGCCTTAAAGCTGGCGGGCGGGAAGAGCAGCCTTAAAAACACGGGGTTCATTTCGTGGCGTCATCCTTCAGCGCTCGTCCCCTCTCTGCCATTGGCTGTTCGGGAGCGAGAGCTTCCCTATTCGTCCTCCCGCCTTTCCCGCCCCTGCTCTTCACAGAGGGGCGGGTTCCGGAGCCCGCGAAGCGAAGGACGTTGTCGCGGTTCCTCATTGGCTGCCTCGATAGCGAGTCCCCTCTTTCCATTGGCCGCTCGCTTCCAGGATGGGGCGGGAAGCAAAGCGAGGAGGGCTGCCGCGCTGCTATTGGCCGCTCTCACTTTTGGCGGGAGGGCGCGAATCGCCGCCGCGCGCGCGAAGTGGGCGTCTCCCGGAGGAAGGGGCGGGGCCTCGCCGCTCTTTCTCCAATGCGCGCGCGCTCTTTCGGTTTGCTCCGCGTTCCAGGCCGAGGCGACGTCGACGGCGAGGCTCATTCCGCCTCACAGCGCTGAGGCGGCAAGAAGCAGGGGGCCTTCGCTGCCGCCGGACTGACTGACTCCCCCCAGCCTCGCCTCATGGAGCCCGGCGGCCTTGCCCCGCCGAGGCTCTCTCACCGCCGCCGCCTCCTCCTGCAGGACCAGCCGCGCTGCCCCGCTCCGCAGCAGGGTCGCGGAGGCCTCCCCGAACCCGCCGGCCTCGCTCGCGCCGCCGACCGCCGGAGGAGCCTGGGCTGCGGCGGGTAAGGCAGGCGGCCGCCCTCGACTTCGACGCCTCTCGCCTCGCTGTGTGGTGTTGGGGGGCCTTTGTCCCGCTCGACACCGCAGAACTCCAACTCCCGTCATGCTTTGCCGTCGGCCGCGCTCGCTGGGGCTGATGGGAGTTGGAGTTCGGCGACGCCGCACACCTGGCTTTAGAAGCCGCTTCGTCTATCCATTGAGCAACTTAGTGGGACTAAGTATATAACCCAACTAGGGCTGTTATATTTACTATTATTATCATTATTATTATTACTATTTATTATTATTATTATTATTAATTATTATGCCGCGCTCTTTCTCTGAAGCAGGACAAGGTGGCGTACATGGTTCTCCTCGACACGTCTCTCTATTTCTCTATTTTCCCCTTTATCTGCACACACAACAGCCCTGTGAGGCAGGTTAAGCTGAGAGAGAGCGACTGGCCCAACGTGAGCTTCATAGTTCAGTGGGGAACTGAACCCTGGCCCAACACTCTTGAGCACTATACCACTTTGAGCTTCATCCTCCTGTTTTAGAATTGGATAGAATAATAATTGGTTATTATTTTGCTGATTTATTTACTTGATACGCTAATATTACACCATTTCTCCAGGGAGTTCAAGGTGGCTTCCATGCTTCCTCTCCCAACTCCCTCCATTTTTTCTCTCAGCCTTTGAGGTAGATTAGGCTGGCCCAGTGACATAGCCCAGGGTCACCCAGTGAGCTGAGTGGGAATTTGAATGCTAGTATTTCTGGTTTATGATAGCCACTTTGCTACCCTTGTTTTCTTAAGTAACTGATCTCAGCATGGAACCACTTTTATGCTGCATTTTTTATTTATGTACTTTCGTTTGTGTTTATGTAAACTGGCATTATGTTCCATTTGGTTGCCCTGAGAAGACTTCTTCACAATGACGTGTGATGTAACAGTAGTGTATCTGATTATTTGCAGCTCAAGTGAAAATTGCGTACAAACGTCAGAAGAAAAGAATGTCAACCTGCAAAGGACGTCGTCTTCTGAATCTACAGATTCAGGTTTGTCTGCCTTCAGTCATAATAATAATAATAATAAATTTTATTTATACCCCGCCCTCCCCAGCCGAGACCGGGCTCAGGGCGGCTAACAACCAATAATAAAAACAAGTTGATTAAAATACAATTTAAAAAACAAGATTAAAATACAACATTAAAACATTAGGATGCAGCCTCTTCACAGTAGGAGAAAGGAAAAGTAGAGGGGGAGGGAATCAAATTGATTCTAAGCCAAAGGCCAGGTGGAACAACTCTGTCTTACAGGCCCTGCGGAAAGAAATCAGGTCCCTGGTCTCATGAGACAGAGCGTTCCACCAGGCCGGAGCCAGTGTTGAGAAGGCCCTGGCTCTGGTTGAGGCTAATCTAACTTCCTTAGGGCCCAGGACCTCTAGGGTGTTGCTATTTACGGACCTTAAGGTCCTCCGTGGGGCAGACCAGGAGAAGCAGTCCCGTAAGTACAAGGGTCCTAGGCCGTGAAGGGCTTTAAAGGTCAAAACCCAGCACCTTAAATCTGACCCTGTACTCCACCGGGAGCCAGTGCAGCTGGAAAAGCACTGGGTGAATATGCTCCCATATAATCCAAAACCCACTGGGCTTGACAATAAACTTCTCTGTAGTTTTAGTTGGGAAGTTCAACTAGCATCTGAGCTAGAAGCTTACTTGATTGGTCCAAATGTAACTTTCTTACTCCAAATGATTTGGAGGATTGGGAGCATGTTGTAAGCCAGCACTCCCAGTTCTTTCCTTGATTTCCTGGTTTGATTCCACCATAATTTCCCTGAGCCCAGGGCAATGATGGCCTACAGATCAGGACTGGAAGCCCAGTTCTAACAGTGATTGATTACCGTATTTTTTGCTCTATAAGACTCACTTTTTCCCTCCTAAAAAGTAAGGGGAAATGTGTGTGCGTCTTATGGAGTGAATGCAGGCTGCGCAGCTATCCCAGAAGCCAGAACAGCAAGAGGGATTGCTGCTTTCGCTACGCAGCAATCCCTCTTGTTCTGGCTTCTGAGATTCAGAATATTTTTTTTCTTGCTTCCCTCCTCCAAAAACTAGGTGCGTCTTGTGGTCTGGTGCGTCTTATAGAGCGAAAAATACGGTACTCAGTTGAGATGTAACATCACTGTTTTTCTGATTGGGAGAAAGGGGAACACTAAGATCCAAGACTTAGTATGAGCAGCCAAACCATAAGATGGCTGTTATATGTGAACAATAAGCTTCAATATGTTGTCAGTCCATTTACGTAATGAGAACAGTACTGACCTAATATCTTTGTCTGCATGTTTTGTCACTTTCTACAAAAATCTGTGCAAGTTGTAAGATGATTTCTTTCACAGGTTGCTGTATGGATTCTCCTACCCAGCTCGGCATGAAAAACCTTGATGAAATGTATGTAGTTTGTGTGTTTTGTGTGTGTGTGTGTGTGTGTGTGTGTGTGTGTGTTTTTGTGGTTTTTTTGCTTGGGGTTTTGTATGAAACTGGTTCAGGGCATCCTAAAAGAGTCTGCTTTGGAGCAGCTTGTGTTAAGCAAAAAATGCATTTGGAAGGTGTGAGAGTATTGACTGAGTATTTCAGAACCCTGGTACTTCAAATTAGCAAGAGTGGTGTAAAAGGTTTTTGGTTGTAGCTCTGCATGATAGGTTCCCCTCTGTTTCCTGGCACAATGTTTATGGGAATGTCTCATTCTTAGACTTTAGCACTCACTCACCAACGCACAGGAGAGGGATGTGTATGCACTCTCACACTCGGGAACATGTCACGCTTGCCAGAATGTTGGGTCACTGTTGGCGTACCCAGTGTGATATTATTTTAGCTAAATGAGTCATTACTAGGTAGTCTATCATTTTAGCTTGGATGTTGAAATTTAACTTGTAAATCTATGTTAAGGCATGTGCATCTTTTTGTTCTTGCAGTTTTAGAGTGCCCATGCGAAGAATGCACTCCCTCCCGGTAAGTGAAGCTTAGGAAGGAAACCTTCCTTTGTCCCTTTCTCAGCTGAATTTCACACTATGCAGAACTGTCAGATTATGTAAACTTAATTAATAAAGCTTGAAAAGTCTTGCATGTTGTCTGCCAGGCTCCTGGATATCCCAATGTTGACATTAAGGGATTTTAATATCTTACACAGAGCTGGATTCTTAGTGTATTTTTGATTTAATTTTACACACTTAATTTAATGACTGATTATTATTAATAATAGTAATTATTATTATTCGTATCCCACCTACCTGACTGGGTTGCCCCAGCCAATATAGCTTCCAGTATATATAAAAACATAATAAAACATTGAACCTTAAAAAGCTTCCCTATACAGGGCTGCCTTCAGATGTTTCTTAAATGTTATATAATTACTCATCTTCTTACCTGATGGGAGGGCATTCCACAGGGTGGGCATCACTACCGAGAAGGCCCTCTGCCTGGTTCCCTGTAGCTTAACTTCTTGCAGTGTGGGAACTGCCTGAAGACCCTCGGAGCTGGACCTCAGTGTCCTGGCTGAACAATGAGGGTGGAGACGCTCCTTCAGGTATATTGGGCCGAGGCCATTTAGGGCTTTAAAAGTCAGCACCAACACTTTAAATTGTACTCAGAAACACACTGGGAGCCAATGTAAAATATGTATGTACTCTCTCCCATCCTTAGGCATGATCACCTGAAAAAATTACAGTTTGAAACTCCCAAATTTGCTTAATATTGTATTGGCACTCACTAGTTTTAAATGATGAATTTTATGAAACAACAAATGCATAGAAATAGTGATTTATTCCCCCCCCCCCCCCCGTGGAAAAACAAAGCCCTGGAAAATGTTCAGTTTTAGAAATCCTCCTTCCCTACATCACTTGCTCTTGTTCCGGGTCCTAGCCAGCTCTGCCCACCTCCCAATTCAAATCCTCCCGTTTTCTTTTTCAGCTAGCATGCTGTGGTCCATGGCTACTGTCATTGGCCCAGATTTTATGCTTTTTTAACTGAATTGGGTCCTGCTGTTCTGTTGGTTGCTCCTCGTGACAAAAGAGGAGAGCTGGAACCTGACTCTGCATTTGCTTCTCTCGCCTTTGCAGCAGAGCCTTTTGGGATGCAGTCCTGCTCTGAAGAGGAGCCACTTAGATTTGCTCAGTTGTGATGTCTTCCAGGGATGTGGCCCTGAGGAGAACAAAGAGAATGTAAGTTTATTTCATTAAGTTCCTAATCTGGGGAAGATGGCCATGGGTATGCCCCAAGGGCTGGAACTGACGTCCATATGTAAGAGGGAAGTGTAACAGGGTTAGAGTTGTAAATGAGTGTTGCTGCAGGCACTGTGTTCCAGCATAAGTGCTTTTTGCTGTTGTAAAATCCTAGATGTGAAATACTTGATGGAATGTTATTGGTAGAGTATTCATTTGGATATTTACAGGAGCACTTTCCGTGTGATAAGAGTAACTTCAGCCAGTGTGTGGAAAATCATACTGAATTGCTTCAGCCATTTTGCTCCTTCTGTTTCCTTCCTAAAGTTGCTGGAGAAGTGCCCCAATTAGTTTTTGTGTTTGAATCCGATGCTGTTTGTCCCAGGGTGGTGGTAATTTTTCTTTTCACTGATGTATTCATGGAGAACTTAGAGCCATGATAAATAACTGCTTGTGGTTCTTCATTTAAATGTGAATAGGCAGACATTTTAAGCTTTGCCTAGGTGTTCCACCCGAGATGCCTATCCAGTCTCTGCTATGGGCTGAACTTATTTTCATTATAGGAAGATGAGTGGGGGCGAAAAAGGTTACAGAAAGACTGGGTGTGGTAGAACAAAAGAGCTGATCAAGATTAGATTTCTCTTGAACGCTGCAGGACTCTAGACCAAAGGCTCTAGAACTGCAGGTTTATTTCCTGGCCTTTTGAGCTCTAATGAATTGGTAAAACGGCTGTCTTGTTCCCTTTCCCTAAGGAACCATTTGAATTCAAAAAGCCAACAAAGCCTGCTTCTCGTACCAGTCTACGTACCTCTTCCCTTGAAGATGAAGGGTTGAGGCAGGAGCCCGCCACAACACTTTTGGTATGTCCTACTCGTGTAGTCTCTGTGCTCAGCAGAATGTCGTGGTGCTAACTACTGTGCCCAAACCTGGGACCAACTCTGTCAGAAATGGCAGGAGAGCCTCAAAAGGCAGAAATACTGTTAGAAATCAAGATTTGGAAAAAGCATGCTTCTCCATCAGGTGCCAGATTGTATGCTCAGCTCTGTGTATGCCTGCAGTTTCTAACAAACTGCATGGAATGAGACAGTGTGCTGAAGAGTACAACTTGGAGCTACACAAACCAAGTGAGTCTTCATTATTTGCATGCCATGAGGACACTGGACAGCCGTCGCGGAGCCCTCATGTAATTATTTGGCAAGATCTGGTTGTGGGAGGCCACATCTTTCGGCATCTTGGTTTTGCAAGCAGATTTAGCTGATTTTTAGGCAGCTGGGTCTCTGCATTTAGTGTATTTGGGTTTACAGAGTTGTGATTCTAGATGAGAGCTACCTAAGCAAGCCAGAAGAATGCCCTATCTGTGAACTGCTCTTTATTCCTTTCCTGATCTTCTCAAAGTGAAGCCATAATCCTATGAGGGAAGACAGATTGAATGGCAACCAATAAAATATCATTTGTTTTAGTTTCGTAGTGGAAAAGTTGACAACTATCAAGAAAGCTTCAGTCCAGCATTTCTGAGGCCGCTGTCTCGAGGGGCCTCAGAAACTGAGGAAGATGATGACAATGATGATGGATTCTTAGAGATAATGGATGGTCCAGATGTCTGCGTAAGTGATGATGAAAACACCTCTGTATTAAATACTTTAAAAACTAAAAGTTCCCTGGCTAGGTGGTTTGTGTTGGGTACAGCCATTTTCAGCCTGTCTAAAGATGGCCAGCACTGTAGATACTGCACTTGATAACTGATATAAGTAGGCTTTTTCAAATTCTTTGGTTTGCCTATTTTGGGTGAAAATATGGAGATAAGAGGACTTGAGCAGTAACCTCTTTTTTTTTTTTTGTAGTAATTCATTGGTTGGGTTTCCAGGAGATGAGTTCAAAGCAGCTTTCAACAGTAACATATAATTAAACAGCTAAAAGGCTCTTGACTTGCTGCGTAAATGCAAAAAGTGATGATACCGAATAGCTCACCGGGGAAGGAAATTCCAAAGATGATGTGCCATAGGAAAAGTGTATCCTTAGTCAGACCCTTTTCACCACAGGAGCAGGTGGAACACAGAGAAGGGCTTTTGAAGCACATCTGTGGGAAAGCAAACTCAAAATGGGAGGGAGCAATACTGCAAATAGTTTAGGCCAGCGACTTTTGGCCCACCATGTGTTGCTAAGCTTCCACTTACTTCAGTGCTGACCAATGGCCATGCTGACTGTGGGTGAAGAGATTTGGAGTCCCAACAAAATCGGGTATTTCTCACCCCTACCCTGTCTCAGAGTTTAAAGATGAATACCAGCACTTCTGACTACTCTAGGAAACAACACTGAAGCCCCATGCACATTTTGCAAGTTGAGTGTGATGTATTCATTGAAATTTGACCCACACAGCAAACTCAACACTCTATTTTGGTCCAGTGGACATTTCTGAGTAGTCTGCAAATGCACTCCACATACAACTTACGACAATACAGTGGTGCCCCGCAAGACGAATGCCTCGCAAGACGGAAAGGGTTTTCCGTTTTTGAGTTGCTTCGCAGGACGAATTTCCCTATGGGCTTGCTTCGCAAGACGAAAATGTCTTGCAAGTCTTGAGATTTTTTTCGCTCCCCCCCCCTTTTTCTAAGCCGCTAAGCCTTTAATAGCCGCTAAGCCGCTAAGCCTTTAATAGCCGCTAATAGCGCTAATCCGCTAAGCCGCTAATAGGGTTGCTTCGCAAGACGAAAAAACCGCTAGACGAAGACACTCGCGGAACGGATTAATTTCGCCTTGCGAGGCACCACTGTAATTTAATTTAATCTTGATAAGTGGCAAAGTCGCTCCTGTCCAAGAAGAGTCACCATTTCACTTGCTACTAATGTTGTTTTCCCTGCTTAGTAACTGACCTTTTAATTTTATTTTAGAATGATGGTGAGATGCCCTCTGACGTGGCCAGCCTTTGGACAGCTCCTCTAGTCATGAAGAAAGGGGAGGATGCCCATGTAAGTTGGCCATTTTAGTCTTCATGGAGCCTGAATAGTGCATTTAAAACCCTTTGTTGCTTTCAGTGGAGCTTATTTTCTGATATTCAAGAGGTGTTCGCTTTTAGTGCTGTTTCTCTTGAATACATTCAAGCATATGACGTCTACTCCACAGTTGTCTATCAGTGGCTTTGGAGCTTGTGTTTCTTTGTGTGTGGTTGTGTGTTCTGGCCAAGATGCAAGATGGAAGTAGAGCTCCCTTCAACTTCCATGGCCATGCCAGTCCTTTTGGATTCCACTTGGTGCCTTACCTTGCCAGGGAGCTCAGCTGTGGTGGGAAATGTTGCTTTGCTCCTGCAATGGAGGCAGCTGTTCCTTCAGCATTTTCAGAGTGGGTGGATGAGGTATAAGTAATTACTTTTGGTCAGTTGCTTTTTGGTGATGCCTTTGGCTGCCTGGCAGGGACGCGGGTGGCGCTGTGGGTTAAACCACAGAGCCTAGGACTTGCCGATCGGAAGGTCGGCGGTTCGAATCCCCGCAACGGGGTGAGCTCCCATTGCTCGGTCCCTGCTCCTGCCAACCTAGCAGTTCAAAAGCACGTCAAAGTGCAAGTAGATAAATAGGTACCGCTCCGACGAGAAGGTAAACGGTGTTTCTGTGCACTGCTCTGGTTCGCCAGGATCGGCTTAGTCCTGCTGGCCACATAAACCGGAAGCTGTACGCCGGCTCCCTCGGCCAATAAAGTGAGATGGGCGCCGCAACCCGAGAGTTTTCTGCGACTGGACCTAATGGTCAGGGGTCCCTTTACCTTTGGCTGCCTGGCAGTCCTAATGCTGCTTTGGTTTTTGTGCAGAATAAACAGTGCAGGTTGCTGGGCATAGAAAGCGAGCCGTACAGCATGGCCAAAGCTGCCCTGAAGAGAACGGGACGATCCCCAGAAGAGAACTCTCCATATTTCATCAAGAGGAAAAGAAACGTCTGCAAGGCATCTTCTGAAGAACTAACGGTTGGTGGCTGAGCACCATACACTGACTGCAGCCTGCTCAATTTGTTTGTGTTCATATTGGACTCTTAACTTCAAGCAAAGCCTGTTTGCCTTTGGTACTGGTTGTGAGAGGTGTGCTGTTCTCTGAAGGGGGTGGGAGCCTCTGATCAGCAGGCACTCTTCTAAATATTGAGGAGGAAAGGGGCTTAATGTGCAGATGGGAACAAATGCAGAGATCCTTAGGGATTTGGTTGCCAAACCAAGCAGGTGCAGGGGTGACTTGGAGGTCTGAGGGAAGGCGCTTAATGTGTTTCTTAAAATTCCAGCTTATTTCCTTTTCCTTCTGACTTTCTATCTTTCCATGGAGTTCGTTGTATTCCTTTGTGATTCTCTTAGATAAGGCAATGCTAATGTTTTCCTTGAGGTTTACCTTCCTCTAGTTTCAAGTCCTTCCCATCCTTTCTGCTTGTTCTTTCTAGCATACCTTTGGAATAATAGAAAACTGCCACTGCTTCTCCCCGTACTTCCCACACTTTTCACTTTTCCCCTTAACCCAGGGGTTCCAAAGTTCCCTTCTCACCAAACCCAAGCAAAAGCAGTTGTGGAAAGGATGCTTCCGTTGCTGCAAGCTTTACATGAACTTGGTCTTCCATCATCTCACATCTGCTTTCCCCTTGTTCCTTTAGAGCCTGGTGCTAATTGACCCAAACTCGTTTGAAAACTCAACAGAAATAGAGAGCATTTTGGACAATGACGCAAGGGATCTTATTGGAGATTTTTCAAAGGTAATGCTGATGACCTTTCCTCTTTTGCCATTCTGTGGCTTGTGTGAGACAAGTGCAGTGCACTCATGTGTTCTGCTGTTTTCCTCACCTTAGGGTTACCTTTTCCATACTGTAGACGGGAAGCATCAAGATCTGAAGTATATTAACCCAGAAATGGTAAGCAGCACAGGCTCTTCTCACAAAAAGAAATGTTTGCTTCACATGGATTGCAAACTTAGCGGTAGTTTGTCTGCAGGCCACCTGTGGAGTCCAGAGAAGGAAGAGGGGTGGGTTTGTCTACGCAGCTAGACAGTTTTGTCAGTTAAAACAAGTATTTTTTTTTAAAGTAATGGGGTAACGTTCCCGAGGTCTAATGCTTGACCTTTTCCTCCCCTCCAGATTGTTGACGTGTTGAATGGCAAGTTTTCAAACTTCATTAAGGAGTGTGTGATAATTGACTGTCGATATCCCTATGAATATGAAGGAGGCCACATCAAGGTATGGAGGGAGTTCAGAGGCACCTGCTTAAGACTGGCATCCTGATTAATTTGGGCATAAGCAGAAAAACATTAGAGTGAATCCCAAAGCTAGTAAAGGTAAAGGGACCCCTGACCATTAGGTCCAGTCCTGACCGACTCTGGGGTTGCGGCGCTCATCTTGCTTTATTGGCCGAGGGAGCCGGCGTACAGCTTCCGGGTCATGTGGCCAGCAGGACTAAGCCGATCCTGGCGAACCAGAGCAGTGCACAGAAACGCCGTTTACCTTCTCGCCGGAGCGGTACCTATTTATCTACTTGCACTTTGACGTGCTTTTGAACTGCTAGGTTGGCAGGAGCAGGGACCGTGCAATGGGAGCTCACCCCCTCGCGGGGATTCGAACCGCTGACCTTCTGATCGGCAAGTCCTAGGCTCTGTGGTTTAACCCACAGCGCCACCCACGTCCCTTATCCCAAAGCTAGGCATATCCCCAATACTAGGCATTGTCACTTCTGACTAAGTTTCAACTTGTGCTGGCCCCTTTCACGGTATCTCAAAAAACACTCACTTCAAAGGTAAGGATTTTTAGGCCTCCTTTGCTGGGAAAGATCCCCTTGGCTGATTTTCCTAAAACGGGGGAGGAAGGTGTCTTTATGGCAGGGCAGGGGAGAGAGATCAAGTCAGGGGACAGAAGATGTACAGTCTTACCTTGGAAGTTGAACAGAATCCGTTCCAGAAGTTTGTTCGACTTCCGAAATGTTTGACTTCCAGAGCGTGGCTTCTGAGCCGATTGGAAGCCATGGAAGCCCTGTCGGACCTTCAGCTTCCAAAAGAACGTTTTGCATTCTGGTGGGAGGCTGAACAAAAAGTAACTGCTTTTATACAGAGCCATTGTAGTGACGTCTGAGAGGATGCAGTGATGCTGGAGAAAACTGAATAGCATATTACGAAGCATCTGTTTGGTGTTCTCTGCTTCTAGACGTCCTATTTATAACTTGGGCTAGGGAGAGGAAGATGGGCCACATCAGATTTGATGAAGTGAAGGGCCATAAGGGCTGACCAAAGTTGTTGACCTTTTTTTAGGATTGTAGTTGTTGAGGTTTTTTCACCCCAGGAACTAAACTGCCACAGGGGCCAGATTGGGCTGCCAAAACAGACTTTGGACATGCCTGCCCTTTTCATCTTCTAAGACTAAGTTATCATGACAGATCTCGAGTGAATATGGATACTGTTTTAATGCAGTGTTTGGGGCAACAGGTCCTGTTGGGTGCTGTGCCATAACGAGCACACAACCCGCAATCGACCTGCCTTCTCTCACCAGTGTCTCTTCCTTCTCAGGGTGCTGTAAACCTTCACATGGAAGAGGACGTGGAGGACTTTTTGCTGAAGAAGCCCATCGTGTCATCGGACGGCAAACGAGTCATCATCATTTTCCACTGCGAGTTCTCTTCAGAGCGGGCCCCGCGGATGTGAGTACATGAATGCTCCCCTTTGCATAGGTTGGGAACTTGGAGGACTTGTGGTGTTACGTGGAGACGTGATTGGATGGACAATAACTGATACTTAATAGTGGAATAGGGTAGGTGAGAATTGATAGCCCAAGAAGATAATGAGACTAGGCGGGTACAGGAATGGAAGGGTTTTAAGAAGCAGGCGCTGGTGCATTCCTATGCGCTCCAAGCATTTCTTTAATAATTGTCATTTTGATGCTTCGCGTTACAACCCCCCTCCTGTTAGAAATGACATCCACACACATCACTTACGGAGGGTTTTGAGGCTCTTTCCCATCTGTTACAGGTGCCGATTTGTGAGGGAGAGAGACCGACTTGGCAACAGCTACCCCACTCTGCATTATCCTGAACTGTATGTTCTAAAGGGAGGATACAAGGATTTCTTCTTAAAATGCAAAGTAAGTGTCTTTTTACCCAGCTTCCGTTTCTCTTCCTTGTGTCTTTATTGCATGAGTGCCGTGACCTACCTTCCTGAAGCTCAAGGTGGTGTAGATGGTTTCTCTCTCTGTCCACAAAACATTGTTGTGTGTGAGAGGGAGTGACTGTCCCCAAACCCCAGACAATTCACTTAATGGCTAGGTGGGAATTTAGCAACCTAGCTGTTCTAGCTGTTGCAGTGTGCAGGTGTTCTTTGTGTAGGGTGAAAAGCAGTTCTGTGCTAGGAAAACCAGAGTTATGAACTCTGTATAAAATAATTGGATCGAGCGCTTCTTGATTTCCCACCTCCTGTGTCAACCTAGGGAGAAAGGAAAAGTGATGGCTTTTTTAGGTGACAGAAATGGACGCTAAGTAGGACTTCAGCACCCTGAAGATCAGTGCGGAATACATTTATACAAGGGCTGTCAATGAATCACAAGTGGCCCCAGAGATTTTATGGGTCTTGCATAATCCCCTTTTTTCCTTTCAGAGCTACTGTGAGCCCCAAGCCTATCGCCCGATGCACCACGAAGACTTCAAGGAAGACCTACGCAAATGCCGCACGAAGAGCAGGACCTGGGCTGGTGAGAAGAGCAAAAGGGAACACTACAGTCGCCTGAAGAAGCTCTGAGAGCCGCAAGAAGGGCAGCCAGATTTAGCCTGCCTGCCTGCCCTGTGGGTGAAAGCGGGGACACGTTAACTTCTCCATGTGCCTCGCAGGAATTGTTCACTCCTTGCATGGGCTTTGCTTCACCGTCTACTGAATCACTTCATGCAAGAACAAGCGGAGTCCACGGACTGCCATATTGCAGGCATGAACCCTTCAGGCGTTTGCGTTCTGTCCGTGAATCCAGGGTTTCCCCGTATGCTTCTGAAGACAATCCATTTAAACAGTGTGTATACGGGAATCAGGGTAGCATATAACTGCCGAGCGGAGTGTCGATCATGAGATTTTAATGTCGATTTTACAAATTGTGCCTTTTTATGTTAGTACAGCCGTATGAAGCTAATTTACCTGTGACTGGGTTTCCCGGGTTGTGTCATGGCCCTAATTTTGTACAAGGGGCAATGAGCAGGGAGGGGTTTTTTTGAGACCTGACCCCACCCTCTGAGCCGCAGCTCTGATATTGCCAGCATTCTCTTACCATGTGGAGGAGGGGTGTTGGAAGTATTTTCGTGGAACTTGCATAGGCTTCCTGTAATGAAGTATTTATCTGCTGCCAAAGAGGAAGCTGTTTTATCATGTTCTAACTTATTCTTGGACCTTGTCGTCACCTTAAACTTAGTTGCTTTTTAATGCGTAGGTGTGACATTTTACATGTGCGACGCCTGGAGTGACCTGGTGTCAAAACAGCTTGTCAGTGTTCCAATTCAAACTGCAGTCCCTGCATATATACAGTCACACACCCTGTGTGCTCGGCTGTGATTGTGGCATCCTTCTAGGGCAGCCTCAACCTCATGCCCTCCAGATATTTTGGGCGGCAGTTCAGGCTGGGACAGGTGGCTGTTACAGTTCAGAACATCTGGTGGGCACCAGGTAGGCGAAAGCTGACATAGAAGGTAAATCTGGCCTGGATAGATCATGCTGTGTGTTTCTCCTTCCTCCAACTGTCCCCAACAGAGGTTTGCTAACCCTTTTTAAAGAATTCGGCTCCCAAATCACTCCCTCATGCCTTATTGGAAGGGTGCTGGGAGGTAGGATGGGAGTGAGTCTTCATCCGCCCAGTGAGGAATCAATGGCTTTCTTCTTTTAAGTGTGTAAGTTACACGACTGTTTGAGGAGTGTTGGCCAAAACAAATTCCGAGCTGCTTTAAATTGCTCCAGTTACCAGTGTAAACCCTGGGGGCAGAAGGAGATGGAGCAGCTCAGAGGCTATGTTGTGCCTGGCCAGAAAGTATTACAAGCCAGCTTACTTCTAAACCTTAGGGGGAGAACAAGTGTTATTTAGGGGGAATTAGTATTGCAAGCTATACTTTTCCGTAATTGTGTTTTGGTCTTTGAAACAATCCTTCAGATATTATAAGAAATCAGTCAGTGGCTAAACTCAACCATGAGGTTGGGACGTTTTCTGCTTCATATTTGTGCAGATGTTTGGTTTTTGGCGATGTTGTTCCATATGCTCAAACCCCTTGAGCTGTGATGCAATTCCGTGTCTGCATCAGATCTAAAATACCACCCCCTAGTTTGTTTGCTCTGTTGTTACTTGGCCTCTGTGCAGGTGATCAGCAGATACCTCCAAACGGGGCGGGATTAGGAGCCAGAATGCAAGCGAGTCCTCCCATTCAGTGGCAAGGAAGGCTGCAGTCTTCAATCAGAGGTGGTGCTTGAATGGGGTGAATTGCCGTAGCGAAAGTCCAGGCTTTTGCCCTTTCTGCGACAGGGACCAGCGGTCTGCCAGACCATTCTACTGTTTCCTTGCTGGCTGCTTCCTGTGAACATTCCCAAAAGTGTTTATTCCACCTCCCCAAAGCACACTTCCTGGTATTTGGATATGTATTGTTTGTTCAAGTTGCTGTTTGTCTTTTTAATTTGACATTTGCACATAATTCATTTAAGGGTAGGAAAAACAGTGTGCTTTTTAATGTATTGTGAATTTTTGGAAGGGCGACGGGGACATTTTAAACGACACTGGTCCTAATAAGGGCCTTGGCTGAAATCACCTGCTTCTGTGGCCTCGGGAAATAAAATGCCCAATACACAAGCGCTGTTTCTTTTGCCTTTTGAGCAGCTGGTACTAGATATGGTCTAACAAGAAAGGCCTGTCAAAAACACCTGATACGACCGTACAAAACCTGCATGACGTTTTGGTGGGATTAAATCACAACTTTATTTACATCTTCCTGAGGAGCAGTGGCTTGTTTTGCATTCCCCTGGGCTCAGTTGAACAGTTTTAAGTAAATTGTTTTCTGATTTGCATGTGGATTTAGGAGGGTCTGGTGGGTGGTAGAAGGCCCTGCTTTGGGTTTGGTGGAGCACGTTGTGCAAACTTCATCTTGTCGGTACATTGAACCTTCCACTTTTAACTTTGTTTTTCCACCCCATGTGTGTTTAATTTTGCTGGTGGAGATGACTTAAAAGTGAGGGGAAGAGATGCCAGGGGCAACAAGTCCAGGGCTGAACTCCTGCAGAGATCTTGTTCAATAAGCCTTGACTGGTCCTTATTGCCTCTTAGGCAGGATCTTTTAGAGGGAGTCCCACCCAGGTGGGGACTTACATGCTTCTGCTGCGCTTGGGATGAGGCCACTGTGCTCTCAAGTGGCTTCTTGAAAGTTTGTGGGTAGTGCTAAATACCACAGTTCCATCTGCTCATATGAAATCTGAGCAGAGGGTGATCTGACTCTAAACATTTGCCAGTTGTTTAAAGATAATCTAACAGAAGAATTTTCATCTGTTCAGGAGAAGCTGTGGTATTTTGAAAGAGATGGCATGCTGCAATTACTTAATTGGTTAATCTGTTCAAAAGCAAAAGACTAGTAACAGTTCCCCCTAAGGAGCTGGTTGATGCTTCCATTTTCAGTGATGCTATGGGTCTACGCTGTGTGTGTCCAAGTCCCCACTTGGTGGTGCTGCTGTTCCAAGCTCTAAAAATCTTGTGTGTTTCAGCTCTGTGGGCTAGAAAAGGAGTTGTACACTTGTTCATTATTCCTTCTCACAGTGGCCTTGTGACTGTTCACCATGGTTCCTGTATTTACAGAAGGTGATTTGTTCAGGGCAATCCATGATGCGTGTTGTTGACAGAGGATTTAAACTTCTACTTTTTTTTAACTTAATAAATTCTGTAAGGATGTCTAAAATGAGAACCTCTACTGTTGCACAGTGTCAGAAGAAAGGAGGAGTATAACATGCAGGCCTCTTCTTTAGCTCTTTGAGTTCATTAGTCAGATGCAGAATGAGATAAAGATCAAGCAATTCTCTGTGTGTTGGAAATGCAATCTCAGTGATGCAGGGAACATTGGAAAACTGAATTGCCAGCACTAAGGTTGCTCCATCACGCATTGTGTGGGTCTTTCATTTTACATAAGACTACTCAATAGTAGGGACGCGGGTGGCGCTGTGGGTAAAACCTCAGCGCCTAGGACTTGCCGATCATATGGTCGGCGGTTCAAATCCCCGTGGCGGGGTGAGCTCCCGTCGTTCGGTCCCAGCTCCTGCCCACCCAGCAGTTCGAAAGCACCCTTAAGTGCAAGTAGATAAATAGGTACCGCTTTATAGCGGGAAGGTAAATGGCGTTTCCGTGTGCTGCTCTGGTGTCGGTTCGCCAGAGCAGCGATGTCACACTGGCCACGTGACCTGGAAGTGTCTGCGGACGGCGCCGGCTCCCGGCCTCTAGAGTGAGATGAGCGCACAACCCTAGAGTCTGTCAAGACTGGCTCGTACGGGCAGGAGTACCTTTACCTTACTCAATAGTTCATGGTCGGTCTGCCCTGTGTGTGTGTGGCTCCAGTTTCAGCCTAGCAGCTAAGCTGCTGTACTCAACTCTTCTCCTTCCTATTTAAAATTGTATGGTAGCTTTCATCTATTAATGATTATGTTTCCTGGTTTCCACTGAAATCTTTTAAGGTAGAGGCTGCTGCGTGGGTTAGTGTTTTTCCTTCTCAAGTGCTCCTCCATCTCTCTTCCCAAACAAAAGGACACTGAAGGTGCTCACAGATGAATGTGGAGTTGCTTCTGAGTGAGCTGCGGCATATGATAAAACTGATACCTAGCGTGGGATAATGGCTTGCAAACCCTGGCCTCTGATTGGCTGCTTCAAACATTAAAAGTCATCTTGTTTCCCTCACTCACCATAAAGTGGTACCCAGCCTGACACTGACATTAATGCCAGTTTCTGCATATCCAAAGTGGCTTACATATAGAATAACAGAGCTTGGGTTTTTTTAAAGGTTTATCAAGACAATTAAACTAGCAGTTTCTGTAAGTGTCAGACTATATCTCCTGGTGCCTCTGCCGAAGTAAAATGGCTGCAGAACCACTTCCATATGGAGAATAGCTCATGCAGTAGAGCACGAGACTCTTGTTCTCAGGGTTGTGGGTTTGAGCCCCACGTTGGGCAAAAGATTCCTGCATTGCAGGGGGTTGGACTAGATGACCCCTGTGGTCCCTTCCAAAGCTGCAATTCTAGGATGCTGCATCCTCCAACCCAGTTATTGTAGAGGACCAGCCTGTGCAGCCTCAGGGTTGGATCCTGCAGGATCCTAATGTGTAGGTGGTTGGGGGGGTCAGGGTGTGGCCCTGCTTGCCCCTTTGGTTGTGCGAAGAGGAGTTTCTGTGCTTGGGAAATTGTAGTCTTGCACCTTGGAAAGAGACTCCTAAATGCCCCTTCTCCCTTGATGTAGAGCCAGCGGTGCCTTTGGTAAAATGGCATCACCACCACTATCTTATTTGCTCATCTAGTAGTTGATTAGCATAATGCTAAGCCACATGTAGGGACCCGGGTGGCGCTGTGGTCTAAACCACTGAGCCTAGCCTAAGGCTTGCTGATTGGAAGGTCGGAGGTTCGAATCCCCGTGACGGGGTGAGCTCCCGTTGCTCGGTCCCAGCTCCTGCGGTTCAAAAGCACGTCAAAGTGCAAGTAGATAAATAGATACTGCTCTGGTGGGAGGGTAAATGGCGTTTCCGTGCACTGCTCTGGTTTCACCTTGCTGGCTCTTGGTTTCGTCTTGCTGACCACATGACCCAGAAAAACTGTCTGTGGACAAACGTCGGCTCCCTCGGCCAGTAAAGCAAGATGAGTACCGCAACCCCTGAGTCGTTCATGACTGGACTTAACTGTCAGGGGTCTTTTACCTTTAAGCCACATGTGGGGAACCTGTGACCTTCCCACATGTTCCTGGGCTCTAGCTACCATCAGCCCTGACCCTTTGGCATGCTCGCTGAGGCTGATGGAGTCCTACAAAATCTGGATGATCACGGGTTCCTCACCCCTGTGCTGTAAAAGCCCATAGACTGCCATCCTTTACAGGCCTGGAAGCAAATGTGAATCTATAGAGATAAGCAAACGTCACCAATGTTGACAGTAAGCGACAAAACAGGCAATTATCTCTACCCTTCTAGGCTATACTTCCTTGTACATTCTCCCCCCTGCCCCAATCCTGCTGGAATTTTGCTAATCTTGGGGGCAAGCGGGGGAAGCCAAACACTTCCTCCCCCTTCATACCTTAGATTTTGTGGTAGCTGAGCATGGACAGACTTACAGGGTTACGGTGGTGGTGGTTACGTTAATTGTCTTGAGTATTTCTGCAGCCATCCTCAATGCTCCTGATGCTCCCTCTTGCGTCCTCATCATGCTGTTTTGATGAGATGAGCAACAATAATTGTCCCCCCACAAGATTGGCATTAGCATTTTATGATGATGGGAGGTTGCTCTGGGAGAAGTCTGTCTTCAAAGAGGCTGCCCTGTAACAGCTGGTTCGTGTGAGAATGCATCCGGAATGAATTTACTACCGTCAGCAAAGAGATCAAGGTGACCTTGAAAGCAAACGAAACTTGCGGCAGCCCCATGAAGCATGCTGATTGTTCTGCTCTAGGCTCATCATAACCCCAAGGTGTGCCCCAGGATGGACTCTTGACCATCTGCCTGGTGCCATCTGCACTCAATCGCGTGCCCCTCCAGTCGTAAGGGCTGGCATCTGTATGTTTGGGTGGGGACGACACACAGCCCCTGGCACTGCAAAGATAGCTTCTAAAGGGGGTTGGATATTCTGCTTTTCAGAAAGTGTATCATGACAGGTTCCCCCACCAAAACCCAGTTAAAATTTTTTACCTCACTGGTGGTAGACTAGCCCAAATATGCATTCTCGTGCACTGAAAATTATTTTTAAAGTTCTCATACGAGGCTATGCAGGGATTGCTAACCCTGGCTCACCAATACCTCCAATGTAAGGTTAACTAAACCACCCCACCCAGAGCCTGCTGATAGGGATGCAAACTGTCCCCTCCTTGGTCATCACACTTGATCATTTGGTGAGAGGAGAGGAGGTGCTAACCTCCCTCTGCTGATCTGCATGGATCAGCTGAAGCAAAAGTGAGTCACAGATATGGGATAATTACATCCACCACTGGCATGTGGTTCTTGGTGCATTGGCCAAAGCAAGGGTTTTTTTCTTTTTAAGATAGATAGGTAAAGGTAAAGACCCCTGACCATTAGGTCCAGTCGTGACCGACTCTGGGGTTGCGGCGCTCATCTCTTTATTGGCCGAGGGAGCCGGCGTACAGCTTCCAGGTCATGTGGCCAGCATGACTAAGCCGCTTCTGGAGAACCAGAGCAGCGCACGGAAACGCCGTTTACCTTCCCGCCAGAGCGGTACCTATTTATCTACTTGCACTTTGACGTGCTTTTGAACTGCTAGGTTGGCAGGAGCAGGGACCAAGCAACAGGAGCTCACCCCGTCGTGGGGATTCGAACCGCCGGCCTTCTGATCGGCAAGCCCTAGGCTCTGTGGTTTAACCCACAGCGCCACCCGCATCTCTTTAAAATAGATATCCCTGGCCTAATTTGAGCCATGTTGCTGGTGATATACAGATCTCAGCTTGGGAAAGAGGCAGTCCAGTTTTGCACTGATGGGTTTGTATTGCTTTTCATATCTCTAGTGAATTGATTCCAAGTGTGGACTCCTCATGCAGCCAAAATCCATGCACAGGCTGGATGTATCAGCCAGCAGCTCGGGAAACACAGTTTCCAGAAGTTCAAAAAATGTTGGCTTGGGCGGGGAGAGGCCATAAAACAACATGGTGAGGACCAAGTATGCCCAGTGAGCTCAGGGCTGGCTGATGCGGGCAGCTGTGAAAGAAAACTGAGGCAGAGGGAAATGGAATGGAGTATCCTGGGAAAGGGGGAAGAGGCTGGCTGAAACCTGCAACAGGAGCACTCCAGATATTAAAATGTACAAAACAGTAGGTTTATCAATGGCCAAATGCTAGAGTCTTTGACAGCAAGGGAAGGCTGCTGCCACTTGCTAAATGGGCTTCCTGCAAGCAGCCCAGCTGCTGGATAAAATGCCTCCTTACTTAACTTCCTGGGTGGTGACTCTGTTTAAGAAGGTAAGTTTCGCTATATAGTGTCACAAAAATATTATTGCCATATTGGCAAGCTGTAAGGTGTGCAGAAGAGGGCAACCCAGATGGTCAAGGGTTTAGAAGCCAAGCCTTATGAGGAACAGTTGAAGGAGCTGGGTATGTTTAGCTTGGATAATAGAGATGATAGTCACCTTCAAATATCTCAAGGGCTGTCAAACGGAAGGTGGAGCAAGCTTGGTTTCTTTTAAAAAACTTTTTATTGATTTGTTAGAACAACAAAGTGCAAATAAGGGACGCAGGTGGCACTGTGGGTTAAACCACAGAGCCTAGGACTTGCCGATCAGAAGGTTGGTGGTTCGAATCCCCGCAACAGGGTGAGCTCCCGTTGCTTGGTCCCTGCTCCTGCCAACCTAGCAGTTCGAAACCACGTCAAAGTGCAAGTAGATAAGTAGGTACAGCTCCTGCGGGAAAGTAAACGGCATTTCCGTGTGCTGCTCTGGTTCACCAGAAGCGGCTTAGTCCTGCTGGCCACATGACCCGGAAGCTGTACGCCGGCTCCCTCGGCCAATAAAGCGAGATGAGCGCCGCAACCCCAGAGTCTGCCACAACTGGACCTGATAATGGTCAGGGGTCCCTTTACCTTTACAAAAGTGCAAATACAACATACAAAGAATCAAAAGGTAAAGCAGAAGTACAAAGATGCAGCACAGCTCCAAACGGATAATAAGATAAGAGCTGTTCAACAGTGGAACTGTCTCCCTCGGAAGGTTGTGGACTCTCCTTCCTTGGAGGATTTTAAGCAGAGGCTGGATGGCCATCTGTCAGGGACGCTTCAGCTCAGATTCTTGCATCACAGGGGGTTGGGCTGGATGACCCTCAAGATCCCTTCCAACTCTACGATTATATGATTCCCCCTTGAAACCTAGAAGGTCCTGTGCACTGGATCATGTGGGATGTGTCACTGCTGTTCCAAATCTACCGATTGAAATCCTGGCTAAAGCAAGATTACTTCTTAGCAGAGCTGAGCTACAACCATGTCACGTGCACTTAGATTAAGGCTAATGCATGCCCTGAGATGACAAGATTCAGTTGTAGCCGTGGCAGATCCCAGATTTAAATGAGGATGCCAACAGGGGCTGGCGTGTTTGCATCTCATGAAAATACGAGAGCAGTGGCTTCTAATAAATTGGGCCTCTGCAACTGCGTTGCAAGCAGGTACCCGCTAGAGCTGCTTCGTAGGATATTGTAGCCGTCTACCCCGGAAACCTCAGGGGTGAGCACTCAGGGCTGATTTCCTTCAGAATGGGTAGGTTTGATCTTCTTGCAGTCCATGGGACTCTCAAGAGTGTCCTCCAGCACCAGAATTCAAAAGCATCCATTCTTCAGCAATCAGCCTTCTTGATGGTCCAGCTCTCACTTCCACACATCACTACTGGGAAAACCATAGCTTGAACTATATGGCCCTTTGTTGGCAAGGTGATGTCTCTGCTTTTTAAGATGCTGTCTAGGTTAGTCATTGCTTTTCTCCCAAGAAGCAGGCGTCTCTTAATTTCGTGGCTGCTGTCACCATCTGCAGTGATCATGGAGCCCAAGAAAGTAAAATCTCTCACTGCCTCCATTTCTTTCCCTTCTATTTGCCAGGAGGTGATGGGCCCAGTGGCCATGATCTTGATTTTTTTGATGTTGAGCTTCAGACCATATTTTGCGCTCTCCTTTTTCACCCTCATTAAAAGGTTCTTCAATTCCTCCTCACTTACTGGGGCCCAACTCAATGCAAGGCAGCTATATAAAGATTTTTGTTTAATGTTCTATTACGTAATGTTTGATATGTTTTTATACATGCTGGAAGCTGCCGTGAGTGGCTGGGGCAACCCATTCGGGTGGGCTGGGTACAAATAATAAAAATGATTTCCTTTGAATGGAAAGGGGAACAAAAAGCAGCAGCTACTCCAACAACACAACCTCTCTCTGCAAGACAATTGCATAGCCTTATGGGGAAGGCTGCAGCCTGGCTTCCTCCCACCTAATCCCATGTCT